CAATCAGATATTTTTTTTGGAGGCAAAATATTTTTCAGGCCGACGCCAATAGAGAGAGACGGAAGCCAATGGTGGCCGCCTCCAGTAGAAATTTTGGAGGCAAAACCAATTGGAGGGCGCTTCCTATAGCTTGTCTCCCAGCTGGCTGCGGCTGATAAATTGGAGGCAGAAATATTTGCCTCCCGCTGGCGGATGTAATGAAAATTTGCATGTTTGCCTTTAAGTTAACGAGCAATTAAATTATTAACTGAGAACAAATGTTAAATATTTGACATCAAAGTTTTGTATGATTTATTGACTATTTAAAAGAAATTTTGAAAAAAAAATTATTTTGTCAGAGCGGTCTAGGACTATAGAATAAATTTTTAACTTTTAAACATTTGAAACTTTTAATTGCTTAACTTAAAAACGTGTCAAAGTAGATGAGTCTATATTTTTAAACGTTTTAAATTTATAGAGTAAAATATAAATAATATTTATAAAAGTATTTATATTTAAAGTTTATAAATTTTTTTTTTGGTTGTAATTTGGCAAAACTATTAGCATAATACAGCGTAGTCACAAACTTTTTATAAACACTCGCAGTTATTTTTTCAATAACTTTTACAATATTCAATTATTAAAAATAAGTATTTAACATTAGTATTTAACGTAATTTTGTCGACTTGTTCTAAAAAACATTTACCAAAATCAGTCAATTTTTTTTTCAGTCAAAAAGATTTATTTGCCAATGGCATAGAAGTAAAATTTCCAACTTTCAACTTTTTTTTTTTTTTTTTAAAAATAAGAACTTTTTTAAATACTGCACATAATCATATAAAATGAAATTTGATGTCAAGTATTTAACATTTGTTTCTAGTCAATATTTAATTGCATTAAAGCAAACGAGCAATTATTTTTCATTACATCCGCTGGCGGGAGGCAAACATTCCCGACTCCAATTTGGCGGCCGCAGCCAGTTAGGAGACAGAAGCCATTAGAAGCAGCCTCCAAATGATTCTGTTTCCACAATTTTTTGGGGGCGACAACCAATGGCTTCTGCCTCCCTAATGGCGTCAGCCTCCAAAACATTTTGCCTTTAAAAATAACTCTGGCTGCGGCCACCAATAGAAGAGCAGAAGCTACTGGAGGCGGAAGAAAGAACATTGTGCAGCTAAAAATTGAACGAGGGGCCACCGCTTACGGCTTCCGCCTCCCTAAAATATTGGCCTTTCGGCAGAAAGTTACTTTGCCGGCTGGGGGCATTATCAACTCAATTTTAATTAACAGAAAAATTAAAAAAAAAAGAAAAGAAAAACGAACCCACAAGCAATATCAGCCTATTTTAAGTATAAAAAGATTTGTTATACATATTACTACTTGTAAGTAAAAGACTAACTTGTAAGTAGTTTAGAAGCAAATCTTTATATAAAAGGTTACTTTTTATGTGTCCCTTGGACGACATAGAAAGTTGAGGAAGAGCGCATGTTAAGTGAAAGAAAAGATTATAAAAACGTTATAAATAAGTTTTTTTTGTGTAGGGATTTATTTTTTATGATAAATTTAAACGTTTGAAACTATTTTCTTATGTCTTCCTAAAACATTTTTAAACCATTATTTTTAGAAAGAATTTTTTTAAGTTACTTTAATTTGTGAATAAGTTCAAAAGCTTTTGTGACGACTAACTTTTACACATTTTATGTGAATTACACAAGAATATAAAATAACTTTATTTACTTATATAAGCATGTATTTTGTTGATTTAATGAAAAAGTTTTAAAGCATTTTGTAATGTCCATACGATTAATTTTTATGATAAACTTACGATTTTTAAAAATGTTTGAAATAAACATTTTATTTTTTGTAAACAATTTTTTTTTTTTAATTTCATTAGAAATGAGTTTAAATCTTTTATAATAATTTTTAAATTCATTACGCGAAGCGCTAATTAATAAAGTTGTAAAGGCTCAAATTAAAATTAAATTAAAAAGTTTGTTGGCAGTTAATTTATTTAAATCGCAGGTGCATTTTAATTATTAAATTTTTCTTCTATTTTTACAAATAAAAAAGTTCAAAACCTTTTTTTTAATTAGACTCACTAATTAGAGCATGATATTAGTAAAAATTACTATTTTAAAAAGACTATGTTATTTTTTTAAACAATTATTTTTTTGCAACTTTTTTGACAAAATAAATGTTTATACAATTTAAAAATATTATATAAAACACTTTTTAATAAATTTAATAAAATTTGTTCTTTTATTAAACCAATCATTAGTAGTAATTTGTTACTTAATTTAAAAGCGTTTTGCGTAACTTTAATAACGCTTAAAAAGATAAGTTTTAATAACGCTTATTTCATACTTAATTAAAAATGTAACTAAAAGTTTCGCTTCAAGTTTAAGTTTTTATTTTCATTTTAGAGCTTATATAATTTCTTTTTCATTATGAATTTGTTTTTCGTTTCTTTTTTCATTAGCAATTTTGTTTTCATTAGTTTTTTTTTCGTTAGTTTTTTAAAAATTTTTTCCTAGTTTAAGTTTAGCTTAGCGTTTCTATATAAAACATTTCTGAAATTTTTAACTCATCAAAACATATAAACATTGTTTATTAAACAATCGTGGTCAAGTTGTCAAAAAATAAAATCATTTGTGTGGTCAGCAATAGCGCTCGATCGCACACCATTCCTGTCCAAGCCTGTTAAAGCATTAAATAATTTTGGCAGGTTGATAAAATAATGCTAATTAGTTGATAAAATAATGTATAATAGTATTATGGTATTTTATTTCTTTCATGTTTGCACCATTTTTTCTCAAAATTAAAGTACTGCTTTTCTGTAATTATTAAAGGTGTTAATATCTAAATAAATTCCTCTCTCATTTTAGATAAATTATGAAACATATATTATTACCAAGGCTTCTAAATGTTCTTGGCTTTCATATTTAACTGCAATTACCTGCAAAGAAAGAAAGTCAAGATTTAGTAGCTCAATAGTCTTTCTGACATGTTGTAACTTTCTGGTATATTTGCTATAATTGCCAAAAATTGAACTTTTTGAACACCGAATCCAGATATTGATTTTTGAAAGCGAATGTCTCTTTTTCATCAATATGGAAGGCATTAACACATATCTTCATAAACCATAAAACAGAATCCATTGACACTCGCACTAAAGTCTTATAAAGACCAAGTCCTCTAATTATCATATTAAAAAAATCAGATGTGTCTTTCACTATAACAACATCTCTCTCAATCAAACAACCACCTGATTCCTTAAACAAAATTTGTAGAGCATCATAATTGGTTTCCAGATTTTTTGTAGTTCTTTCAGTCTTCCAAACATATTGTTCTCAAAAATGCTATGTCCCATATTTATCACCTTGGAACAAAGTAGTTTGATTCCATTATCGCTCAGATTAAATGTAACTTGTAACTCCATAATAGTTTCAAGAGACTCTATGGTTCTGTGATGAGTTTTTAGGTAGATACAAACTTGAACTGTAAGTTTGTATCCACCAGTTGAAAGCATCATTTTCTGTCCACTAAGAATATTTTTCTTTTCCATTTTATGTTTAAGAGCACGAACTACCATTTTTTCTGCACACTTTAGGTCCCCATTACCTCCCAATGCATGATTAACTAGGTTTTTACCTTTTTCCTTTTTTCCGCATGGATAAAAATACTCCTTGCCTTAAATTTAACTAAGTTCATAATTTTATTACTATTTTATCAAAAAATTTATTCCTCATTAAATATTTTTTTTAATAACTCAAATCTAAATATACCAACAAAAGCAAAACAGGGATATATTGGAAAAGTTTCTTCTAAATTAGGAATATTTTTGATTGGTTCAAGAGTTTAACTCTTGAACCAATCAAAAATAAATCATTCTTAGCTGTATAATTAACAAAACCTTTAAAAACATAAATCTTAAATCATAAATTAACTAATTATATTAAAATAATATTTAATAATAATTATTAAATATAAATATTATTACATCTTTTGATATATTTTGAGCAGTGAAGTATTTTTTTACCTGCGTAACTTGAAGTAATCATATTTCTGGAGTAACTTTTCCTTGTGCTTGTAGATATAAACTTTTTTTTTACAATTAGCACATGAACATGGTTCAACACATCATTTAATTTAGAATTAAACCCAACTTGAAATATGTTTATAACCAATAAGTAAAAAAATTAGTCAACAAAATAAACAATAAATGAAATATTTTCTTCTTTTAATTTTACAAAAATTACTCTAAATATAAATTTTATATATATATATATATATATATATATATAAAATTTATATATATATATATATATATATATGTGTGTGTGTGTGTGTGTGTGTGTGTGTGTGTGTGTGTGTGTGTGTGTGTGTGTGTGTGTGTGTGTGTGTGTGTGTGTGTGTAGTAGTAGTAGAATAGTGATAACAATATATAAAGTAATACATTTGAACATTTTGATAGATTTTGTTTGGAAGCAAAGTAGATATCTTGATTCTAAAAATATTTTAACCAATAAAAGTTTAAAAAGCTTAAAATTTCAAACTAAAATCAAAAAAAAAAAAATTAGAATTATATTTTTGTTGGAGTACCAAAAAATTTTGAGGTACCAGAAAATGTTTTATAATTGACTCTTATCAATATATTCAATCAGATTACAAAAAAAGTTATTTTTTTTTTTCCAGCACACACCCACTCCACCCTTTTGAGGTCTGGATGCACATAAAAAGCAATTTTTCAGACACCCCTTGATAGATGTGAATTTAAAATTACTTTTTTTTACAAATATTTGGTTGGTATCTTTATAGGGAATTAAAAAAAATCAGAGTGGGTGGACATAAAACCTGGCAGTTAATTTAGCACACAAAGCTCACTGAAAATGAAATATTAAGAATATATAAGTTGAAAAAAAAGTTTAAAATAAAGAATAAAGATTAAAATAAAAACTTCAAATTGTAAACAAAAATAATTGACAAAAATAACTGAAAATAATTTTAAAAAAAATTAAAACCATTAAAAGATGCAGGATTGAATACAACAAAATGATAATTTCCAAAATTTCTTCTTTCTTCTGCCTTAGTGTATTTTAATTTCCCATTCGCTTGGCTGCAACTTTCACGAGAGCATTCAGAAGCTAAAAGACAAATATTTTTAAAATGCTTTAAATTAGGTAATTTTTAATGTTATTCTGATGTTTACAGAGATGTTAACAAAGATGTTTTATCTTTATGATTAATATAAAAATTGAATTAAACTAATGAATGACCTGATAAATGAATGAAATATTACATAGTCAATAATATGTGACAGTGGTGCAGTTAGAGCTCTTACTTTATTGAAAAGACATACAGAAATTGAATGTGCCTACTTCCCTAGATAGTACTATGCACAACATGTTACTTTACACCGCTGTGTTGATTCTTAAGGAACCTGTTTAATATAGTTTAGTGGTTGAATTTCATAAAGTCAATTTCCAAATATATAGAAAAAAATGAAATACTTTTATGGAGTCTCTCATAATTATTAACTGCATTAGTAGCAAATGATCTAATTTGAAAGTCATTGGTTACACCACCATCGTTTGGCTTATTGGTGTCCCACCACCAGTGTTCTTTTCCTTTTTAAAATAATAAATAAAAGATTTATCCATTTATTAAACACATATGAAAAATCTTAAACAGATTTTATAAGTTAAGTTCTTATCTTAATAATCGTAATAAGACCTTTTATTTCATTGTAGGTCACATTGACATTATTTGCTTTTAACAAACGAAACATTCTCCGAGAAAAATATGGATGAACTGTTTTATCATCAGCGCCGACACGTATCATCACATAAATTCCCTGAGTACAACATAAATAATATCAAAATACTTTGTCACAAAACAATACTTGAACCAAAAACAATATCATTTTCAAGTTTTAAAATTAATTAAAAAAAAAAAAGGAAAACCTTTAAATTTGATGCATGCTTATCTGCATGATTTTCATTTATGCATGCCTCTTGCACAAGTTTAATTGCAGGATCAATATAACTAATTGAAACATCAAAATGATAAAAAAGATTTGAATCCCCGTAATCTTCTTTACTCAACCATCCAGCACCAGAAATAACAGCTAATGCGCGATCTGGGTTATGTACCGATACTTGCCTAAATTACATATAGTAGTATAAAAAAAAAAAAAAACTTTAATTTTGTTTAGATTTTAAATTCGAAAAATTAAGTTTGAACTCTAGGTGAAACTGACCACAATTTTTAGGTCTAGGTGACCACAAATTTCTTTTATTTTAGTTTTTGTTTTTATTAAAGGTTATTATTATTAAGCTTGTTATTATACATATGCCTTCTCTTAAAAAATATGGGAATACATGCTACATGTTAATATTTTACAGAATACATGCTACATGTTAATAGTTTACAGAAAAATAAAAAATTGCATTTCAGAACTTTAAATTAGGGATGCACATATGAATCAGCATTGCCATGCTGATGCATCGAACATTTAGTCAATGCATCGGTATTGGTCTTGGTGACCATTGGTTGAAAGCTAATTGATTTGAAAAATCAGACTTATATATTTGTGTTCCTATATTGTATGCAAAAATATAATTATTCCATAAACAAAAATGTATGTATGAGCCTAAGTTATTATATAGACACATCTGCAACCACTAAACCTTTAGATATTTTTTGAACTGTTTTTTATCAGGAGCTCCCTGCATTTAGTGTCTTTTTATGAGTTAGGAAAACAGTTATATGACTTATGGATCGAAACTATACAAAGAGATAAGTTTAAAATCAAGAAATGTAATGCAATGTATAATGAAAAAAAATTTTCTGCCAGATGTTCATCTACTTGATATTTTTATTTTGCAAAATTTACAAATTGTTTGAAACGTTTTCATCTATATCAAAACATATTATTAGACTTTTAGTTGCTTATAAGCAAGTATTAAAATGAAGCAAACTTTAGCAAATAAGCAAGCATTAAAATTGACTGTTAACATTAACTTTAAAAAATTAACATTAAAAAATTCTTATTTACCTATTAGTAAAAAAAAAAAAAAAAAAAAAAAGTAGACATTAGTGCATCCTTACTTTTAATACAAAATAAATTAAAGACAAATAACTGTTTTTATAGATATGTAAATAACAACATAAATACTGTCAAACCTTCGTGTATAAATGTTTTTAAACTTTTTTTACAATTTAAAATATTACTTATGCTAAATAACTAAATATCTTAAAAACAAATATATATTTTATTTGATTATTGTTATTACTGCTAAAGGATATTTAAACACGTATTTTTAAAATAAACTTATTGTGTAATTTATAAAGGTCAACCAATCAAAATATAAAATTTTGTAGCAGTATGATAAGTATTTAAAGTTAATATTAAATAATAATGCAAAAAGTAAAATTATAAAAAAAAAAAAAAATACAAAATTCGAATTACCAAGCCCCATGACCACCCATTGAATGACCAGCAAATACAATTAAATCTGAGTCAGCACATTTAGAAAAGTACCCTGAATATTTTAAGGTAAGCATTGAAAGTTCTTTAACAGATGTAAGAGCTGTAAGTTCTCCTGGACCTTCCCAATTGTGAGCACCATGACGTGTTGGTGCAAGCAGCCATAATTTATCAACACCAAACAGAAATTTTCCATTTTTCATATATTTGTAGCTGTCTGCCTGATTTTGTGCAGTAACTCCTGTAAATTAATTACAATACTAAAATCAACTCAAGAAACAGGGTTAAAATGGCAAGACAAGAAACTGAGTTAAAATGATAGCTTTTATGCAATTTCTACCTAATTTACTATGTTTTCCTAATTTACCATAATTACCTATTTGATGTTTTAGCAAACATCTTATAGTAAGATAATTAAGCTTTGATTATTGAAACATAACTTATGCAAAAGTTTTGAACCTATAAATTTGTATAGAGACAAGACAAGAAATCGAAAGAAAATTTACTTATGGTTGGTAATTTTTAACACATTAGGTTAAATATATCTCATATACACGTTTAGACCATTGATTATATTTATTCTAAATATTATCAATGGGAAAGTAGAAAGAAAATAAAAATCATGGTGCTGTAAGATCCAAAACTCTTTGAACAGTGGCCATAGTAATACATTCAGATAACAAATAACTAAATAATTCAGATACCTGAATAACTTTTTTTTTGAGGTGCCCTAAGAAGTCCAAACGATATTATCATAGAGCGCTGTCTTTAAAGAGCATTTAATAGGAAGTTCATGCCTCTTTCCTAACCGATGTTTCAAAACTTGCGCAAAGATGGGGTTCGAACCACAGATCCTCTGTTTCTGAGGTGCACTACTACTACACCACGGCTGCTCATAATTAAATAGATTCGGATGCTCATCCATTAGGATAAACATTATTTATGGCATATTATCGATAGAAATTCTACTTTTAAAAAAGATGAACTAATAAACCTCGTTAATTGTTCATTTATTTTCAAAAATGTTTAAAATTAACATTCAACTCAAAATTTGCATCTTAGTGTTTACTAATATCAAACTTCAAATATTTAGAGAAAGAAGATTTAAAGAAAAATTTGCACAATATAAATTTAGTTTTAAAAAAATTTCATTGAATTCCGTATTTTAATAAAACAAGCTTTTTTTTTTTCAATTTAAGTTTTGCTTTTTTCTGTTCTTGTTATTATTAACTTAAACAGTGTAAAAATAACTCTTAATCCTATTAAGAGTTATTTTTACACTGTTTAAGTTAATATTTTTACACTAAATGGTTTTTTTTATAACTTTTTATTTCAAATCAACTCTTATACTCAATTTTGTATTTAGTCCAACTTGAGATTTTTATTGTCTTTAATGAAGTTGTGTCATACTTTTTTATTTTATTTTTTTGTTTATTTTTTTTTTTTTTGGCTTTTGTTAATTAAATTAAAAAAATATATTTTAATTAATTTTTAACGATATTATAAAAAATTTATCTTATAAAATAGCTTCTTGTAATGTAAAAATACGATGTAAACTATGGGACTTAGTGATAAGACTACTGTTGTCTTCTTCTTTCCCAGGCCATGTATATATTTATTTATACATTTTGGTATTGTAGCAATATTTAAACGGCAAAATATATAGATAAATAAGTATATAAAAAAAACAACCAAACTTGAACAAAAACATAAACAAATGACTGAAAATTAATGTTAAAAACTTACCTGTCCCATGCAGCGTTAGTAGAACTGGACATTTTTCTAACAAACATGGAGAAAGTGGTTGAATTGCAGCTGCATGTTGAACTGATCCATCATGATCAATAAATGTAAACAAAAAAGATTGGTTTACTTCTCTACATCTTAAATTTAATAACATTTCTTGCTCTTGTCCATCACTAACTTTAAATAAAAGGTTAACTGCAAACAAATCATTTTTACAGCTAGATTCAACATTTGCAAACGAACTTGTAAGCTTTAAAATAATATTGCTAATTTGACCTGGATAAATTTCAAAATTAGAAAATAGTTCCGCAGATAAACCAATCAAATCATTACTAGTTGTTTTTAAACTTTTGATTGAAAGGGTTTCTTTGGGATTCATGTTTGAAACCAAAATAGAAACATAAGGAGCAAATAAATTTCCCGAAACAAGATCAGGTGAAAATTTAACATAATGAAAAATAAGACTACGCTTTTTTAAAACTTCTATACTGCATTTTACCTTTGTGTTAACTTTTGCTCGTACTGGCACTTTTATGGTATAAATACCCAATGACAATGATAGTGGATACCTAAATAATTCAACTAACTTTGTTAATTTTTTACAACTAACCGATATATTTAAGTATACATAAACTAAATATTTAAGTTTAACAAATTGAATCAAGTATTTATTTTTTAATAACAAATTCATTAGATTCAACATTAATATTATATCAGTTGTTAAGGACTTTCTATATAGATGTGTATATAGAAAGGGTATCATAACAAAATAAAATTCAGTTAATGGTTAAAAAATAATAACATTTTTATTGAGGTATAAGTTAAAAAAAATTCAGTTTCTGAATTTTTATAAATAATAATATTTGTGAATAATATTATTAAAAAATCTGACCATCAAACCTTACCAGTATTCTTGGCGATGATAAACATCTGCATTAATAACCATATCATTGACATAAAAAACATTAACACCCAAACATTGCACTTGCACGTCACTATCTTTAGTAACAACAATATCATTCACAAGAACACCTTGCCATTCAGTAACTGCCATTGATTGTAATGAAGATATTAAATTGTTCCAATTAACATTCACATCAAGATAAATCACACCATTTTGAGACAAAACTTGCACCCATTTTACAATGGCTTGATTAGTTAGCTCAGAATAAGCAAGAAATGTGCTATCCCATCGTTTTTCAATTGAGATTTTGTTATCGTAAGCAGGATTTCCATCAAACTCAGGTTTTCCAATCTGAAATGGACCTAAAAAATGCCATCTTTCAGATATTGTTAATGTTTTTGCATTTTTCAGCTGTTTAAGTGCAAAAGCAGCTTTTTTAACTTCATTTTTTTTAGTAAAAATATTGTGAAGAAAAACCCAAAATGCTTGTTTACTCTCAATATTTTTATTTTTAATAACTTGAAGTGCACAAAAAATGGCATGTTCATTTGATTCATACTTTTCTAACCAAAATAAAAATGATACTTCTAATGACTGGCATTTATATCTATGTAACTTTAACGCATTAATATTTTCTTCTATAAAATCATTTTCAGTCAACTTTGAAGAACAAGAAGAGCCCAAAAAAGACAGCGTCACCAAAAAATTTGCAACATAACGCATTATAAAATTCTAATAAAAAAAAATTTTAATGTTTTTTTTTAGTTATTGATGCTCAATAAAATAAATAATAAAAAAGATTTGCCAACATAACATGTCAACAACATAATATATAGACATAATACATTATGTCAATATATTATTATTGTTACTAATAAAGATAATAATAATGTTAATAAAAATAGTAATAATAATAATTTAATTTTGTTATTTAAATTGTTATAGACATTTTACATCGTTAATAAAAAAAAAAAAAAAAAGTAACTAAAATAGCCACTGAAACCGAAGCTGCTTTTAACAAACATTAAATGCAATTAAATCCGCATGTAATTCCAATTATGTAGATCTACATGACCAAATCAATACATACGAAGACTGAGAAGTTAGGGTTTGAGTAGTATCTACCTTCTTATTTCTCAAAAATTAAACTATTAGTACCATGAACATCTAAAAACTAATACCCAAGTTCGGATAAGAACCATAGGCCTCACTTTATAAAATTAAATTCAGGTAAGAATCATAGACTTCACTTTATAAAATTAAGTTAGAATAAGAACCATAGGCCTAACTTTATAAAATTAAAAACACATTTACTAGTACAACAATGAACAAAATTTTGAATAAAAAACTTTTTAATCTATAACTTTTAATTGTCTATTAGTCTACAATGAATCATATTACCAGTTATACAAGTTAACTCATTACAAAATTGTAAAAAAAAAATATTCTCTTCCAATAAAGTAAGCATAGTCTTTATAATGTTAAGCAATAAAATAAAATTAAAAGTAATTTTAATTTTATCTTATTGGTTTAATTAATTTGAAAAACTCCTAAAACTTAAATAAGTTTGTTTGTAATAAAAATATATTTAGTAATAAAAAACAAATATAAATAAAAAATATTATACATATCTATTTCTTGAAAATGTATACAAATATATATATACACCATCTCTTTAAATATCAAAACAACTTAATGTACAACAATCCATTTAAAATAACTTCAGAACTTGAAGTTTCATGTTCTGACATGGTCAATAAAATACTCCATATAATTATCTTCAAATAATTATCTCAATGTCTTATTTTACAATCAAATACAATAAAAAAATTAACAACAAAATATGAATTTTTTTCAATCATCTTTAATAAACTTTTAATAAAATAATAAAATAACAAAACTAAAACATTCTTTTTTAATTGTTAAAATCAAAATTAATAATAACTTCTCATCAGTGTTCTAATAGAGTGTTTAAAAACTACTGTATTATTCTATAAGAATATTTAAAAACTCATGTTCTATTATGTATTATTGCAAAAAATCATTTTTTAATTCATTTTTTCATTTATTCACTTATAAATAACTAATAATACGTTTATCATCATCTGTACTTTTATTATGTCTTACTTCAACTGCTTTTCGTACATTGTCAGCATGTTGTTGGAGTTTTTTAACCGACGGAGATTCTTGCACATCGTACGAAGTAAATGAACCATCATGGGTAATGGACCTAAGTTAAATATGTAAATAATAATTTGAAAACTTATGCAGAATTGAAAGGCAGAGTAATTTGTAAATAAACGAAGAATTATTATCTTTAAAACTGAGGTTACTTAAAATAAATGTTTTCAATTATCAATTATCTATCAATTAAAAATGTTTTCAATTATCAATTATCTATCAATTAAAAAAAATTTTTCTCTAGTTATAAACTTTTATTATTTTTTTAAACTATTTTTTTTTTGAAAAACAAAAAGTAAAAAAAACACATTAAGTTTACATTTTAAGGTAAAAATTAATGACAACAAAGCAAAAGTAGAGCAAGAAGTCACTTGGCGAACATAATATGCATGCAAGTATCTAATTCATGTTATTTTCAAATTATAGAAATGGTAAAATCTAAGTTTTTAGTTTTACATTTCAAATTTTCTGCAACTAAGTTAAGTTCGCATAAGGAAAATGGGTATATAACATATATATATATATATATATATATATATATATATATATATATATATATATATATATATATATATATATATATATATATATATATATATATATAAAAAATCTATAGAACTATAAAGTTGTTTTGTTTTGTACTTTAAATAACAATTATTTTTTAAAAAAGCAATTTTGATTTGAGCTTGCCATGCACTAACCTTAACTTATTTAAAAACATTAAGGGATGTTAAAAAATATGTTTGTAATAAGAACATAATTGAAAATGCTAATTTTATATCTAAAATAAAACATTTTAAAGATAATTTATGTAAAAACAATAAAAAGTTTAAAATACCTAATATTAAAGTAATAATAAAAATTGGAGGTTTACAGCTATTTTACCAGACCCCCGCTAAACATTCTAAACCAAATTTACAACAATGACAGAATTGAAAAAATTATCAAGTTAGTATTATGTTCTGCATAATATATTAAAAGTCAACTGGAATACTAATAACTAAAAATGCATGAGGTATTGTAGATGTGCACGTGTTAAGTATTTGAATTTCTTATTTAACATTTATAAATCTCTGAAATATCTTTGATTCTCTCTATTATCATAAATATTATAATTATTAAATATATACTCAGCGAAAACTTCATAGTTCCACTTACAATTTGTACATATAAATAAATTCACAAAGCACTTCCATTTTTTTTTTTTTTTTGTTTATTACAGGAATTATTAGGAATAAATAAATAAGCAAATAATATTTTAATAGAAAATAATTATTAATTTATTTAGTAAAACTTAAAAGTTAAAAATATTTCGAAAAACCAGGCAAAATTTCTATAGTTCCATCAAAAGGTAGTCCTTTATAACTTTAGTTCTAGATAATAATCTTTTAATTAGTTTTTAATAATGTGTGCTACCACCTTTTACACTAATTAATACGAAGATTTGGTTTTCATACTTTTTATAAGATTTCCCAAATAAACCTTTGAAATACCATTTCATGCTTGTTGGACAGATTTTTTAAGTTCTTGTAATGTATTATACTGTCGAGAGTTTCTATATATAATTCGCGCCAATATTCCCCATAAATTTTCAATAGGGTTCAGGTCAGGTGAACATGATGGCCAATTTAAAACATTTAAATTTTTTTCCTGTCCACTTTTTTACACTTCGTACCGTGTGAATTGCCGCATTATCTTGTTGGAAAATCCAGTTCTCAGTTGGTAAACCTTCACTAAACTCTATTAAATGTCTTTTTTTTTTTTTTTTTTTAACATCTTCACTTCCAACAAGGCTGCAAGCAACCACTATAAGAGTTGGAAGTTACTGGAAGTGAAAAGACTAAATCTGTAGAGCAAGATAACGATTGACTGATGACTTAAAAGATTGCAAATTATATGAATCAGGAAAGCAAGATGAAGGAAGCGAATTCCAAAGAACTGATGTTCGAGGAAAAAAACTAGAAGAATAAGAGTTTTTGAAGCACTTAGGAACAGTCACAGAAAAAGGATGAGACTTAAATGAATGGCGAGTAACACGAGAATGAATTTTAGTAGATGGCACAAGGGACGCTAGCTCTTTAGAGCAGTGCCCATTATAGTATTTGTAGAAAAGAGAAAGAGAAGCAACATTATGACAATGTGACAAAGGTTGGAGATTGGCTGCCAGAGCAGGTCCAACTACTAATTCGTTTTTGCACCTTGTCTAAAAGAGAAAGAGCATCATTAGAAGATCCGCCCCAGATGTGGCAACAGTATTCCATACAGGGACGGATTTGAGATTTATAGCGATAGAGAATAGAATCTGGAGTAAGAAAGTGTCGAGCTCGATAAAGAGATGCAACCTTAGCAGATGCTAATTTTGCAATAGATTTGATATACGGTTTAAAAGAAAGATCAGAAGTAAGAGTTAATCCTAGAAGATGAATGGTAGATGACTCATCTAGTACATTACCATTCATAAATATAGGAAGATCTAAATTATTACGATAACGATTGGCCAAATAAAATTGAGTTTTATCTGAATTAAAGTTCACCAGCCACTGTGAGCCCCATGCTGTGGCAGAAGTGAGATCCTTTTCAAGCTCATATACCCCCTCCAAGCAATCAGAGAGTGTAGGCTTCTTATCATGACAAGAGTAAATGGTAGTGTTGTCAGCGAATAATGCCACCTTAGATGTGAGAATATCTGGAAGATCGTTAATGTAAATTAAAAAGAGTATAGGGCCAAGGATTGAACCTTGAGGAACCCCTGAAGTTACAGGATGTGAAGAAGAGTGTTGTCCATCGAGGACAACTTTTATACTACGATTGGAAAGAAAGGACTCAATAATCTTAAAGACGTTACCAGCTACACCATAAGAAGAAAGCTTATGGAGAAGACCAGCATGCCAAACTTTATCAAAAGCTTTAGAAATGTCAAGTGCGATAGCCTTAACCTCTCCACCTCTATCTAATGCACGGTAAAACCTATCGGTTATTACTGTTAGCACATCAGCTGTAGAACGAGAAGACCGAAATCCATATTGATGATCAGAAAGTAAGTTATTTGATTCAAGATGAGAGATTAAGTGTTTGTTGATTAAAGATTCAAAAACCTTGCTTATGACAGGAAGAAGACTAATGGGACGGTAGTTAGATGAATCAGATCGCTCTCCGGAATTTTTGAAAATAGGGATAACAGATGCTGCTTTCCAGCATGATGGAAAACAAGACTCTGATAAGCACTTGTTAAATAGTTTAGAAAGTATGGATGAAAGCTCCGGAGAACACCTCTGCAAGGCTACAACAGGAATGTTGTCAGGACCACAAGCTGTTGAAGAGTCTAAGCAGGAAATTACTTTAGATACAGAAGCTGAAGTGATGCGAATGTCAAGCAAGGGATCAACCTGTTTGACGGCTATGTCAGGTAAAACGCAACTAGTGGAATCAAGAGATGATATTGATGAAAAGTTTTTAGCAAACAATTCAGCTTTGTCTTTAGGTGAGGTGACAAAGTCTGAATCATACAAGAGAGAAGGAATAACAGATTTGCCCTTATTATTGATACTGTTAAAGATTCTCCAGAAGTCTCGAGAGCCTAATTTTTGTGATGAGATACGAGATTTAATGACCTGGGAATAGCGAGCTTTGGCGTTAGACAAAACCTTTTTACAATGGTTTCTGGCGATAGTGAACAGATGTCTGTTTTCTGGAGAATTGTTTTGCTGATAGATATGGAAGTAATGTTTCGATTAGAAATTGCTGCAGCGCAATGTGAGGAAAACCAAAGAGAAGAGTGAGGCTTGACCTGGAATCGTCGAGAGGGAATAAAGGATTCCATGCCAGCCTGAATCCACGAAGTTATGTAAGAAGCACATTTGTCAGCAGGAAGACGAAAGATTTCTACCCAAGGGCCATCACGAAGAAAATCACGGAAAGAGTCCCAGTCAGCTTTAAGGTAGTTGTATGTGGTACGATGATAGGGGGATTCTGATGAAGTAGAAGAATTTGATAATAGTTTTAGAGAGATCAAACCGTGATCAGAAGTACCTAAGGGTGAATGTGGAGAAATTGAGCACTGACTAGGATCCAAAACAAGACATAAGTCGAGTAGAGAAGGTAAATGATTAGGGTTGTCTGGAAAATGAGTTGGAAAGTTGACTATTTGAGTTAGAGATTGAGAAAGGCAAAAGTTGAGGGCCTTAACGCCAGCAGAGTCACTGACACTAGAGCCAAGCCAATCGGTGTGATGGGCATTAAAGTCACCAACAACGACGATATTGGCCGATGGATAAAGAGAGAGGGCTTGGTCAATTTGATCAGAAATAACATCAAGAATAGTGCAATCTTGGGATGAAGGAGAGCGATATAGAACAAAGAGAAAGGCGATAGAGTGAAGTTGTGCTAAATGAAAGCACATAAATGAATAGTCTGTAGATTCAAACCTAGTTTCACGACAAATGGGTGAGTTCTTACGAATGTAGATGCCCAGGCCAAGCATGTGATTATTGGAGTCTTTACGAATTAAAGGAAGATAACCATCAACACTAAGATCACAAGATGGGACAGCCGAACTCAAATTAGTCTCACAAAGAGCAAGTAGGTCTGGTGAACTTTGCAAGAGATAAGACTCAACAGAAGAAAAGTTACTTCGAAGACCACAAATATTAGTAAATGATAGGTTTAGAGAACTTGGTGATGACGATGGTTTTTTGTGTTTTTTAGTTTTAGGTACTTTAGTCATTTTAAATTTATAAAGAACTTGACTCAAGTATAGATAGTACTCAGTACACTATTTAACAACTAAGCAATAGCCTCATTACTATTAATAAACCCTAAGCCGTAACAAAGGGCTCCAAATGTGGCCTCTGCAATGCACACCAAAAGTACAAACAGGGACACCATCCATGCGCAACATGGCACTGTTAGTACTCTGATATTTTTCGGCTGTTGATGGAATCAGCCTCTCTGAGAGCTACCACAGAGTTCGGGAAACCTGACTACCAGCCGGCCTCAGAACCATAAAACTGAGTTTTAGAGCTGTACCCTCATTAGGAGATAATAGAATGAGTTGCCCAGTCATAAAAATAGAGACATAAGCAATACCCACCCATTGAGTCAAGAAGATCCAGCGTTCAACATCCTAAACTGGAAACAATGTATTAAAAATACATCTGCACCAGCCTAATAGATGAGGAAGGGGTGCGAGGCTATTCAACAGGTAGAATCTGTTTACCCCTTAAGTCTTTGCCTAGGAGGCCTTCTACAAGACAGCAGCTGGATGCATGTAACATCTGCCCAAGATGAGTATTTTTATCGAGACACCATCTCTAGCCTTTACTCAACCAAGAGCCCCAAGGCAGGGGGTGTTTTAATTCGGAGTTAACTTCTACTAGCCTTTGCCTAAAAAAGCGTATCCTACAAGGCAGCAGGACATGGAGCATGTTGTACTGGGTTACATGTTACCAGTAGCAGGAAAACCTGACCTGACTATGTCTTCTAAAAGATATTCTAAAATAACTTCTTACATTCCTTTTTTTTTGTAATAAAACATATTGAAATTTTGCCGTGGAAATAAAATGCAGTCCAAACCATAACTGTCCCTCTTCTGAAGTTACGACTCATAGCTATGCTATCTTTTTTTTCAAATCATGACAATAATTCTTAAAACCATCAGGCCCATCTAAGTTAAACTTTTTTTCGTCAGAAAAATAACATTTTCCCATTCTGCATCCCATGTCATGTGGTCCTTTGCAAACTTAAATCTTGTACTTTTATGTTTTTTTGTCAATGGTGGTTTTGTGATCATTCTTTTCCATTGAAATCGTCCTGATTTTGACGAAATTTGTTGGACACATCTTGTAGTCACAGGTAATTCAAGTTCAGTCCTTATTTGTCTTGCTGTTCGTATTCCGGATAACACCAAATGCCAAATGGAAGAAAGTTGCCTTTTGGTTGTTTTTTTATTTCCGCCCTTAAAATAATTTTTGTTGTAGTTTTTACCTAAATTTATAAAACTGTTCACTGCATGATGAGACCTTTTGATTTTCTTTGCAATTTGATGATTGGACAAACCCATATCTTTGTAAGCAACAATTTTTGTATTTTCTTCCTCATTCAACACCTTTCCTTGTGGCATTGTAATAATTAAATAACAAATCTTAATTAAAGATACACAAAACTTTCATATAAAACAAACAAACTAAAAAATCTCACTCAAACTTCAATTAACTTTTATTAAGTGTTCAAAACAAACTAATGGAACTATGGAAATATCGCCTGTATTTTTATCTAATTTTAAAAACATTCTAGAATATCTAAATTCAATTGTTTTAGAAACACATAAATAAATGAGTTTCGCAAAAAATCTGCAATAATTACATGGAACTATAGAAATTTCGCTGAGTGTAGTTTTAATTACAAATAGTATGTATTTTTTTAATTATGTTTTCAAAATTACAAAAGTTTAATTTTTCAAGATGTTAGGTAATGAAACATGTTCTGTTTTGCTGGTGATGAATTAAAATTCTATTTTAACAGGGTGTTTAAATTTAAAGAAACTCGTAATGACCTTATATTATATATAAGTGATTTTTTTTTCTTTTCAGTATTATATAATTTTATGATAGATATTCAATTAGATATGAATCTAATTATTTAGTACAGTGTTATAGTCTGGTAGTGATATTTAATTAATAAGAAATACAGGTTAGATTTATTCATACAGGCTAGATTTAATAAAGCTTACTTTACATTTAAGAACTTTGCATAAACTTTACATATACCTTTTTTTCTGCTTCTATTTCAACAAAATTTTTTCATTAAAAGTGTTTAGAATTGATAACATAATTTTAATTTGTATTTTTAATATTTAATACCACAAACCGTACGTTTTAATTTATAATTTTTTAACTTTTCATTGAATATTTTGTACTTATTGTAATTTTATGAAGTTATGAAGTTATTTTAACTAAAATAAAACTTTTTTGATTAGTTGTTAAGTTGTTGTGAAATTGCAGTTTAATGTATTTTAATCAATAATATTTATTCTACACACAATAATTTTTAATATTGAAACCTAGTTATATTATAATAGATATTTTATATAAGGATAACTAAATGGAGTGTTTTTTAATAGATAAACATAATTTATTATCATATAGAGATAATCATTTTATTTTTAAATCTTTTTTTAGGATACTCAAAAATATTTTATGAAAATGTCTGGTAATATATTACTTTAATCCTTTTTATAGATATGTACTGAATATTGAATATGTATTAAATCTATTAAATTTTTTGAAATTGATGATAATGTTTTCTAAAATGATTGTAAGTTGCACTCCATTTTTTAAATATTTTATGTTGCGTTCTTTTAAGTAAATGTCAATTATGCTTTAAATTGACTAAATTATATAGTTCAGTATATTATTTTAATAGAAACATTGATTCATTCTTTTTTAATGTTTCTTTTACTTTAATATAACTTAATGTTTGTTTATTGATCAGTTGATATTTATTTTTATTTATATATAAACCAAAAATTTTTTGTTTAATATTTAGATAAAAATCTTGAAAGAAACATAGATTAGTACTCTGTTTTTTTTTTTTTACTTTATCACAACTTGATACCCTTAACGCTTTTTTTTTTATATATTTGAAAAAACAACTGTTTATTTATTATATAGATAAAAACTTAGTAGGAAATATTTGTTAGTTTTTAAATTTTTTTTTTTACTATATCATGACTTGATACTCTCAATATTTGTTTTTGTTTATATTTAATAAAAATCATTATAATTAAAAACAATCATTTGAATATTTTAAAACATGAAACAATGTTTTTATCTGTGTTTGTAATTTTAGTTGTATAGTTTTAGTTAATAACAATCATTTGAATATCTTTAAACATTAGGTTTAACAATGTTTTAAAACATTAGGTTTAACAATGTTTTCAAACATTAGGTTTAACAATGTTTTAAAACATTAGGTTTAACAATGTTTTAAAACATTAGGTTTAACAATGTTTTAAAACATTAGGTTTAACAATGTTTTAAAACATTAGGTTTAACAATGTTTTAAAACATTAGGTTTAACAATGTTTTAAAACATTAGGTTTAACAATGTTTTAAAACATTAGGTTTAACAATGTTTTAAAACATTAGGTTTAACAATGTTTTAAAACATTAGGTTTAATTTTAGTTGTATAGTTTTAGTTAAAGATTGTAAGATTCAATTACAATAAATTTGAGTTAAGTTTTTTGTATATTATTTCAGCATTCGCCAAGTTTTTGCAAACCAGTTGAGTTTTTTTGTTTTTTCATATTTATATAAATACTTTTTCATATTTATATAAATACTTTTTCATATTTATATAAATACTTTTTCGTATTTATATAAATACTTTTTCATATTTGTATAAATACTTTTCATATTTATATAAATACTTTTTCATATTTATATAAATACTTTTTCATATTTATATAAATACTTTTTGTGTCGTAAAATAAATGAAATAAAATCTTATATATATATTTTTTAAAGAGACAGAGTTTTTTTAACATTTATTTTAGTGGAATAAGTTTTTTTAACATTTGTTTTTTGAAATTAACATCACTTATTGTTTTAACATAAATATATCCCAAATGTTTATATGAACATTTTGAATTACATAAAATTACATAATTCAAAACATTTAGAGGAAAAAAATGTATGCACATTAACTTTTAATTTCTAACAATTTTAATGGTATTCCTCTTTATCTGTTTATTAAGTCTAATACTCAAACTTAGTTAAATTTCCATTAACTACCGAATGAAATATCTTTCAGAGAAGGTAAAGCGCACAAGTTTATATGCACTACCTATTGCAAAAAGCAGCATTTTTAAATTAACTTAAATGACTAGAAAAAACAACAGCAACTAAACTAATCTGCTTAAAACAATACCCTTAAATGGTCTTTCATTTTTGTATTGATGTCCTGTCTTATTGTTAACAGTTTCTAATGGTTTCTAACGGTCCTTGTTAGAACTTCTTTTATCATAATTGCTTTTTTCAATTTAGATTTATCTTACAATGCTTTTCCAGCCTATTGCAGAACAATCAGAGGGGCCTCCATCCTATAAGACACATAGGATGCGTGGCCAAATTTAAGGCAAAAGCTCCTCTCCCTTAGTATTTTTATAGTTTGTTGATCTATCAATTGTTAATTGATAATGTAGATGTTAATTGATAATGTAAATGTTTTTTCTTAATATATATTTTTCTTTTCATATTTTGTTTAGTTATTTTGTATATAAATAGTAATTGTAAATAATAAACAGTTGTTTGGTTAAATGATGTTTTGTAGAAAAAAAAATTGTTTTTTGTTCTTTCTTATAAATAAGAATTTATATTTCTGTATTTGTAAATAAGTTTTGTTGAAAAGATATGGTTTGATCCTTTTTCTTAACAACTTATGCTTTTTTTTATTGTTAAAAAGGTCTATGTTTTATTATTTTTCTAATAACTCATGTTTTGCTCATGTTTTGAATAAATATCTTTTAAGGTTTTATTAACCGTTAGATTGATAAAAAATTGATATTGGTAGCAGGTAGAAGGTCTGGTAATCATCCTAGGATGGTAATCATCCTACCAGTGGTAACACAATAAAAATACTGCTTAAAGTCTTCTATAATGTCATTTAAATTAAAAAATAGAAAATCTATAAAACCATACATGTGGAACAATTGTTAAACTTTAAAAAAAAAGACAGATAAAAAGGAGGAAAATAAATTTTTTCTATAAAGATTAATTCTGCTAAATAAAAGAATTAACCTTTAAAGGAATCTCTGAAAACAAAAACTCTCTCTAAAAACAAAAAAAAATATCTGTAAACAAAAAAAATTTCTGTAAACAAAAAATTTTCTATAAACAAAAAATTCTCCATAAACAAAAAAAATCTTTAAATAAAAAAACACAACAATATTAATAAAAAAAAGAAGTCTTTATAAACATAAAACTTTAAATTACCTGTGATTTGTATTTCCATTAATGTTTTCTTTTTTATCGTATGCAAGAGACATATATTTATACAAATCTGCAGTAGATGGTGTGTGAACTTTTGGTGTGCGAGGAGCAGAGCTAAAGCTAGGTTGTGCTAACCTTAAGGACTCACTCTTTGAAACTGAAAAAAAAAGTACTTTTTATTAAAGACAGACATGCTTTGGGATCCTACTATAGAGGTTCTCTTTTTTTGAAAGAGAGAGAGACCATGCAAAGTCTGTAGAATTATTTGAGAGACAGAGACCATACAAAGCCTGTAGAGTTTCAGTTACACCTAAAGTTCATGGTGTCATATACCAGATGCTTGATTTGATTGACAATCAAGATAAAAAGTATGACAAAGCAAAACCCAGCAAAAACTCCTGTTAACTTTAAATTTCAAGAGGTTTGAAATATACTTAAAGTATTTGAAAATCTGCATGAACTGATCAAAATCAAGCTAATGCAGATTCTACAGACTATGAGAAACAGGTGCTTGACAAAAAATGTTTGGATCATCCAGAGTACTGCAAAACTAAGAAAAATTACCAAAAACTAAAAGAAATTACCAAAAACTAAGAAAAATAACCAAGTGAATATTTGTGTTTTCATTAATATAATCTTATGTAAATATCTTCATTCAAAAAAAAAAAGCTTCCGTATGTAATCTAATGTAAATATCTGAAAGACTACTTACTGATTGTTAGTAGGACTAATTTAGTGTGATTTGGTTCATTTTAAATTTTAATAGCTTTAAAATTTTATTGTATTAAACATTTTTTGTTAAAATAAAGGAAAATGATAACATAATCACACAAGCCTATACTTGATGAATATGATTATGATAAATATTATTATGGTAAATATGATACATGGTCACTAGAACTGACAAAAAATTTTAAAGTGTTTGCTTGGGTACCTGTCGAATGAACAGATGGGTACCCATTAAAAAAACAATTTTTTGTAAAAGTTGTTCTTATAAACAGTTAATAAAAATATTTAACTTAATGATATCATTTATTTAGAGTTGTTCTTTTTCATTTATATTTTATTTAAATCTAAACTTTATTTTACTTTAGGTGTCCAGGTTAAACAATTACCAATTATGGTTTAGAAATATTTCCATGTTTTGGGTACCAAAGATGCACACCATCAATCACATGAACAGCAGTTGAGAAAGCAAACTCTGATGGCCAAAGTCTAACAGTGATAAAGAAATCACAGCTATTGCAATTTGTAACAACAAGATCTTCAAGATATTCTTTAACATAACAATTTTACATTATATTAAGATTGTCGAGTTTAAACTTTTAAAACTAATGAAACCAATTTTAAACTTATTAAAAAACATAACAAAAAGATAAACAATTTTCTAATATTTTATTTAAACTAATTTTCAAATATTTTTTAAAAATTTTATTAAAACTAATTTTTTAATTTTATTTAATTTTTATTTTATAATTAATATTAATAATCATTATTAATAAAAAATTTAACTAATTTTCTAATATTTTATTTAATTTTTACTTCTAGCTTGATAAAGTTTGAAAAATTTCACTTAAAATTACATTAAATTAAATAAAAACAAGAAAGATAACAAAAAAAAGAAACAAAAGAATATAGAATGAAGAAAAATTGAACTAATTGAAAAAAGAAAAATACAAACACCTCCACTTCTTGCAAATATCTGCATACTTTAAATGTGATTGTGTGTCTGTTTGCGCGATTGTTTGCTTTTTTAAAAGCAATAATAAATTATTGATGAAAACAAATTATTTTTAACCTTTTCCATGCAATCCTTTGTTTAGAGCTGGTGTAGATAAACAACTCATATAAAACTCAACTCTTTCTTTCTCAAATTCTTCTTTCTAATAAATATGAATTAAAATTCATAACTGTTAATTCAAAATATTTAAAACTTTAAATACTTTCCATTTTAAGACATGTTTAACAATTTAAATTTCATTACTCTAAAAATATATATATATATATATATATATATATTAGATTTTAAGAAAAAAATAATTAAAACTTATAAGTACTTAAAAAAAAATCAAAACAGACCTCTTTTTCAATTTTAAGAACATATTCAGTAAATCGCTTTTGTTCTTCTATAAATGCTTTGTTTCTTTCATGAAGCTGCTTTTCTTGTGCCAGGTTACCAGCCAAATCATTTTCATTGCCAAAATTCTATGTTTGATATAATTTTTGTATTTAAAGTAAATTTTCAAGATACATGCTTCATTTAAAAAATACTAGATGCTAAATGTTCTTACACTCAACAAAAAATTTATTGATATCAAATTCAACAAAATATGTAATATGTCAAATAATACTGATTGCACCTTTTCTTAAATCATACTAATCTAAATTTATTGATGTTTTAAATGGTATTTAGATGAGAGACAGGACACTTCTAAATTAGTCACATACTTCTAAGAGAAGTATGCGAATACTTAAGTAGTAATGTTGTTCACATGGTCTACTATTATAGTAGTTTTGTTCACATGGTTCACTATTGTAGTCATGCTGTTCAAATGGTTCACTATTGTAGTTGTGTTGTTCACATGGTTTAGAATAGGTTTACTAGTTCATTACATGCAATTATACAGGAGACAATAAAAACAATAAATAAAGAGATTCAAATAAAAATGATTTGACATTTTATAAATAGACATAAATTAAATTACTAAAAACTACTACAAGGCTTTTAGGAGTATATAGGTTATTAAAAGCTATTGCAAGTTGTTTACTTAAATTACTTATAACTACTGTAATTAATAGTTTTTGAAAGTACTTAAGTACAAGTACCAACTTAAGTACAAGTACCAAAGTATCAATTCAGATAAAATATGACATGTTTCAAACATCTAGAAGATGCCTAAAAGACAATCTGACTTTGAAAATGAATCTGAAATGTCTTCTAGATACCCATAACATTTTATTTACTGAGAAACCATCATGTCTGACATAACTAGATATGTGATAACATGTCAGATATATAACTACATATGTGGTAATGTCTGTCATATATCATACCTAGATATGTGATAACATGTCAGATATATATCATAACTACATATGTGGTAACATGTCTGTCATATACCATAACTACATATGCGATAACATGGCTACTATACATTTCAAATACAAATCATCTGAGATTAGAAAAATAATTGCATATAATATAAAAAATAAAAAATAGAAAATAAAAAAATAAAAAAAATTTATATTTTATATATTTTGCAGTTAGGACAAGAGAGTATATGACATAAATTTTGCAAGAACTAAGTTTTTTTTTGAACTTAAGTTTTTTCTGCATTCTCTTAGTCAATATAAAACTATAAAAACTAATATTAACAATTTTTTATACAAAAAAATTTTTATTATGTTTCACTATAACAAAATTTACCAATAATATTTTTTCAAAAGCTTCTTTAGAATTGCCATCTTTTAAATTCTATAAAAAGATATGTAGAGCAATAAAATATCTAACAAAATATAAAAATAAAATTTTAGCGAATTAATCATCAGAAATTTTAAATTTTTATGATTCCTACCTAATAAATGGATGAACCATACAACAACAACAAAATGGATAGATCGCACAACAACAACAAAAAATTAATAAAAAAAACCTGAATTAACTTTTCTTGAGCAGAAATAATAGATTGACAACTTTCAAGTTTCGATTGCAAATCATTATCTAATGTACATATATACATCATCATCTTATATATATATATATATATATATATATATATATATATATATATATATATATATATATATATATATATATATATATATATATATATATATATATATATATTGAATTTTTTTAAAATTATTATGTGAAAAGCTTATGGTAACAATTTTGTCGCAAATGAAAGCAAATAATATATTGTAGTAAATTAATATCGAGTGTATCCTCCCTTAGATTTAATTACAGCCTGAATTCTTTCAGGAAAACTAGCAACCAATTTGCGGCATTCCTCGGGTGTAATTGAGTACCAAACTTCATGCACACGAGCCCAAAGTTCATCTTTATTCTTAGGTGGAGTAGGAAATTTGTAGACCCGTTGTTTAACTATTGCCCATAAATTTTCGAGTGGGTTAAGATTAGGGCTTTGTGCTGACCAGTCAACGACTTTCAATTTCTTCTTGTGAAGGAATTTAATGGTCTTATCAGCCTTATGCTTGGGGTCGTTGTCTTGCATGAACATTGTGTTACGTTCAAGTCTGCCCCATTTTAAGTCAAAATATCCGACCCTTAAGGTCGGATATTTTGAGTTGAAATATCCAACCTTAAGAATGTTGATATAGTCATCAGCGTTCATTATTCCATTAATTTTCTTTAATTCACCGACTCCAGGGGCACAGAAACATCCCCGAAACAAGAGTTTTCCTCTGGCATATTTAACGATTAGTGTAAAATCTCTAGCACTTAATGGTGAGTTAGGCTTTCTCAAGTATGTCTTGTGCCATCTGATCCAAACATATTAGTTTTACTTTTGTCTGTCCAAATCCAGTCATAAAAGTCATCAAAAGGCATGTGTGCATGAAGTTTAGCATAGTTTAAATGAGCTTGGCGGTGATGGAAGCAAACAATGGCTTCTTGATCTTCCTTCTGGATTGAAAACCAATTTATTTACTGAAGCATGAGTCCTATAGCTGTTATTCATTAAATTAGTAACATTTTTTGCAGTTTTAGACTCTCCAGAAGCAATTAAACGAGCGATTGTTCTTTGGTCTCTTGGTATAAAAATTTTTCTTTCGACCATTTTTACGCTTATTTAATTCTAAATTATTGCGCAATTTGATTTTATATATGAGATTATGAGACTTTCCGAACTCAGCAGCGATTTCACAACAAGATTGTCCGGATTTAAGCCTTTCCACAATATTTTTTTCTAGTTCAAGATTTATTTTCCTCATGATGATAATAACAATACTTTTTTTATGTTTTGTAAACAAAATCAAACTTCAAATGATATTTAATCGTTAAAAATCTGTGAAAAGTTGATAGCTCAATCATTTTAGTCATAAGGCTATTAATTTATGTCGTATGCCTAATTAACTGTGGACAAATATGTTAATTGCTTTTATTCGCAACAAAATTGTCACCATAAGCTTTTCACATAAAAATTTAAAAAAATATTCAATATCTTCTAAATTTAACAAAAAGCAATATTTTTAGTTAGCTGTCTTAAATTTAATTAATAAAATTAAAATTTCATTTTTCTTCAAAGCTTTTCTAATAGAATATATATAAAATATTTTTTTGTTCAAACATGGTGACAATTTTGGCACATACTGTATATACATACACACATAGGTTTACACACAGCTACTGTGTTTTTCCAGAATAATGGATAATAAGATTGGGGTCAAATACATGTTTGTATTTGTTTAAAATTGACTAATTTGCTGTATTTGTATTCATATTGTATTAAATAAAAAAAAATTTTTTTTATTTTTCAACACTAATATAAGCTAAAAAAATTGTTTTTAAGAGATATTGGTTAAAAGATTTGTTTTTATTCTATTAGCATTGTATTGAAAAAATAGTTTTATTTTTTTCTAACCTTTTTTTAAACATCTTCCAACATGCTTCCAACAAGGCTGCAAGCAACCACTAATTAGAGTTGGAAGTTATGAGAAAAGAAAAGATGAAGATTGTAGAGCAAAATAACGATTGACAGACAACTTAAAAGATTGCAAATTATATGAATCAGTTTATAAATCAGTCACATTATACGAACCTAAATTATAAATATTTCTTTTTGTATTCAGAAAATGCTGATTAAATATATATTTATTTTTGAATTTGTATTAGGCAATTTAGAATTAACGAATTACTATTGATATTTGAAAAAATGCATTTGACCCCAACCCTGATGGATAAGTTGGACACACTTATTCAACTTAAATAAAACACTTACTCAACTGTGTAACTAATTACTAAAAACATAAAAAACATTCAAGAGTTTTCTGGTAAAAAAGTTCTCCATTTGCCATTAAATAAGATATTAGTTTTTTCTTATAAATAGTTTCGTTTTTGGAAGTAAATTTCAAAGTTTAGGACTATAGTCAGATAATGCTTGACTAACAAAACAATTACTTCATTTTGTTTCCATTAGCTTTAGTGTTCTTTCTGACATTGAGAAGTAGAAATTGCATCTCTTTTTCTTTTCTACAAATACTGTCATGGTTGCTGCTCAAAGGAGTTACCATCTCTAGTTCCATCAACTAAAACTCAATGACGTTTGACTTGTCATTCAGCTTAGTCTGATTCGTTTACTGTATCTGTCACTGCATCCTCTATTTATTTATATTGTTTATATATATTATATATATGTTTATATATAAATATCTCAGAAGTTAGGCTCTAGAGACTAATTCTCAGGTCATAGAATCTCGTATTTCATCTCAAAAATTAGGCCTCATGATTCTCAAAAAATTTCAACAGTATCAATAATAAGGGCAAATCTGTTATTCTACCCCTCTTGTATGATTCAGATTTTGTCACCTTGCCTAAAGACAAAGCTGAATTACTTGCTAAAAATTTTATCAATATCATCTCTTGATTCCACTAGTTGCGTTCTACCTAATGTAGCTGACAAACAAGTTGATTCTTTGCTTGAGATTCCTATCACTCCAGCTTCTCCAGAGCTGCGGTCTATACTTTTAAAACTATTTAACAAGTGTTTATCGGAGTTTTGTTTTCTGACATGCTGGAAAACGACATCTGTTATCTCTATTTTCAAAAATTCTGGAGAGCTATCTGACTTGTCTAACAACTGTCCTATTAGTCGTCTTCCTATAATAAGCAAGGTTTATGATTCTTTAATTAAGAAATACTTGATCTCTCATCTTCAATCTAATAACTTTCTGATCATCAATATGGATTTCAATATTCTTGTTCTACAGCTGATTTGCTAACTGTAATAACCTATATGTTTTATTGTGCATTAGATAGAGGTGGAGAGGTTGAGGCTATTGCTTTTGACATTTTTTAAGCTTTTGATAAAGATCCGCATGCTGGTCTTCTCAAAAAGCTTTCTTTCAACAGTGTATTAGGTAACATCTTTAAAATTATTAAATCCTTCTTTTCCAATTGTAAAATAAAAGTTGTCCTCAATGGACAGCACTCTTCTTCATATCCTGTAACTTTAGGGGTTCCTATACTCTTTTTAATTTACATTAACAATCTTCCAGATCTTCTCTTATCTAAGGTGGCATTTTTAGCTAATGATACTACCATTTATTCTCATCATGATAAGAAATCAACACTCTCTGATTGCTTGGAGGGGGCGTTTGAGCTTGAAAAGGATCTCACTTCTGTTATAGCATGGGGCTCACAGTGACTGGTGAACTTTAATTTAAATAAAATCCATTTTTTTCAGCCAATTATTACCACAATAATTTAAATCTTCCTATATTTATAAATGGTAATGTACTCCATGAGTCGTCTACCCTTCATCTTCTAGGATTAACTCTTACTTCCAATCTTCCTTGGAAACCATATATCAAGTCCATTGCAAAATTAGCATCTGCTAATGTTGCATCTCTTTATCGCACTCGACACTTTCTTACTTCGGATTCTATTCTTTATCTCTATAAATCTCAATTCCGTCCAACAGTTTTAACATTAATTATGTTCAGATATTTGTATAGTGGTTTCATATAGATATTAAAGAGTTTTGGACCCAGGACTGTACCTTGTAGTGCTCCATTCTTTACACTTCAATTTGTGAAATATGAGTTTAAAATATTAACTTTTTTGTCCTTGAGACTCTTAGTTAAGTAAAGACTAGAGATAGTGTTTTGGTACAAATACTTATCTTAAGCAGGTGTTAACTGCATCTACAAGTCAGTAGAACGGCTCCTAGACAAAGATTTTGAGGGTAAGCAGAATGATTCTGTGGATTAGCCTCGCACCTCTTTTTCATCTTTTAGGTTAGTGTAGACATAAACTGGTGCTACATTGTTTCCAGGCTAAAATGATGAATGCAGGATCTTCTTGACTGTACTCATAGATTTTTGTTTGTGCCTCCTTGATAGTGGTTATGCAACTCATCTTGTTATCTCCTAATGAGGCTACAGCTCTAAAGCTCAGTTTAATGGTTTTAATGGTGCCTGGTAGTAAAGTTTTTTGAACTCAGCAATAGCTATCAGAGAGGCTGATTCTATCAACAGTATTAACAGTCCCATGTTGCGCATGGATAGTCCTTGATCCAAAAAGTACTAACCTTGTTAGTACTTTTTGTGTGCAATGTCAAAGCCACATAAGGAACAATAAGTTACAACTTTGGGTTAATTAGCAGGACTAAGATAACTGCATAGCTCATTGCTTAAAATGCCATGCTCTAACTTTGAATTAGTCAAGTTCTCTTTGAATTAAATCATACCTAAAGTAACCAATAATATTAAACATAAAAAACCAACACAACCACCTAACTTTTTCACAAATATTTGTGGTCTTCAAAGTAACTTTCCATTAGTTGAATCTTACTCTTTTAAATTCCTTACCTCTTTTAAAATTCACCACACTTGCTTGCTTATTGTGAGACTAATTTAAATTCAGCTGTTTTTTTTCTTTTTCAGATCTTAGAATTTATGGCTACTATCCTTTGATTCGCAATGACTCCAATAATCTCTGACATTAATTCTTATCACACTGAATGGCTTGGCTCTAACACCACTGACCCTGCTGGCACCAAAGCTCATAACTTATATATTCTCAATCTCTTGCTCAAATAATCAACTTTTTGACTCTTTTCCAGACAATCCTAACCACTTATCTTCACTCCTTGTCTCTTGTCTCGGATACTAGCTTATGCTCAGTTTCTCTTTATTCTCCTTGTACTTCTTCTACAGACACCTTATTATCATACTACTTACTACTACCCTAAAGTTGACCAGGATACTTTTCATGATTTTTGGTCTTCTCCAGAAGCCTCATATAGTGTATTTGGGAAACCTTTTGAGATTATCTTTTTATTTATTTATTTTATCTATTTATTTTCTATCTATCTATTTATCTATTTATTTATTTTATCTATTTTTCAGGCTAACACTCTTCTTCATTTCCAGTAACTTCTGAGGTTCCACAAGATTCTATTATTGGTTGTTTTTTGTCTAAATCCTTTGTTGTTTTTAATCTAAATTAATGATCTTCCTGACAAATTTACACCTAAAGTGGCTCTACTTACTGATTACTCAACATTATACCCCTGTCTTGACAAAAGGTTTTCTCTTTTTGATCGCTTAGAACAAGCAGCCAATCTTGAATCTAATATCACTTCTGTAACAGATTGGGGTTCACAGTGGCTTGTAGATTTTAATTTCAACAAAACTCAATTATCTGCTGCAAACAACTGTTGCAATACTGTCAACATTCCTATATTAATGAATGGCAACCTTTTCACTGAGTCCTCTTTATTGCATCTTCTTGGATTATCATTCACTACTGACCACTTATCTGATAAGGTTGCTTCACTTTAACCTGAATATTATTATATCTACCTTATTTTATCTACCCTGCTTTATCTGCCAAGCTTGAGGCACTCTTCTATCATCCTAAGGTTGCAGCTCTTCTTTTTCTACAAATACTATCATGGTCACTGCTCAAAGGAGCTAGTTCTCCACCAACCAAAACTCATTCTTGCTTGACTCGTCATTCGGCAAAGCTGAATTGAAATGAAGTGGGTTATTCTGAGTTAATGGAAAATTGCTGGAAGGTCCCTGGATTGGAGTAGGGTAATCAGAACAGCTATAATTGCTAACCTAGTTTTACTTTCTAAAAAGCATTCTATGCAAATTATATTTTTCTTTCACAAAAATTTGCATTACTAGGCTTACACATTTGTCTTATTATTTAAGGAAAAAAAAAATATCTGATTGATTCCAATTCAAATAAGTTATTTAAAGCGGAGTAATTTTAGCTGAAATTAAATAACCAGAAATTAAGTTAAATTAAATCTTAATTGGTAAAAAAAAAACTATTTACAAAACAAAACATAACAAAACATACTTACATAAATACAATTCAATTGCAAATTCTATTATTTTATTACCTTCTTTTCCTTGTGTTTTATTCTCAGCTCGAATCGTTTCAATTGCACTGTAAAACTTATTTTTAAGGTCTAAAATACCAAATACAAAACAATAAAAATAATCAATAATATAAAACACATAATAACTTATGTTTTTACCATAATTTAATGTTAAGCAACATTATTCAATAAATAAAATTACTATATAAATAGAAATTACCATTTTTCACAAGATGAATTGGCATTTGAAACTGTTTCTCTTCTTCAATATTCTAAAATAATAATAAAAATTTTTTTTCTTCTTCTTTGCAATAATTGGTAATTAGTATTATTTTGTATATATATAATTTTATCTTAAAAATTAAAAAAAAAAAAACATGCGAGGAGTATTGCTACATTGACTGACAAATAGGTAAAACATGTGAGTGTTGCCTTTTTACAGTATTTTACAGACAGAGTGTTGCTACAACAACTATCTTTTAACTTGCTACTACAAGGGAGTGTTGCAACATCGACTATTTTACAACCTGCTGCTACAAGGAAGTACTCCTACATCAACTATTGTATAGCCTGCTGCTACAAGGAAGTGCTGCTACATACGACTGAAGATTTGTTTTGGGCGAGCAACTTGTCATTTACAAAAAAGAATTTAAGTTTTTAAACTTTTAATGATCTGGTCTGGTTTATTAGCGTTCTCTTTAAAACTACTTATACTGCTGGTTTAGGTGCTAACTAAAGTGTATTACTGACTTATACTGCTGGTTTAGGTGAGCAATCAGATGTCATACTAAAATACCCTGCTGTCGGGGGCTCCAGTATATATATTGACTGACAAATAGCCTGACTCACAGCAGAGTGCTGCTACATTGACTGAAGATTTAGTTTTAGGCAAGTAATTTATCATTTAAAAAAAAAAATTTATTCTATTTTTTAAAACTTTATCTGGTCTGGTTTAGGTTTTCTCATTTCCATTTTATTTTAGCGTCCCGTAATTTATCTAGGGATTAAACGGCATAATTTTTAATACAATAACAAGCGGTTTCTGACATAATTTGATCTTAGCACGCTAATCTGTATTCAATACCCTCCAAACTTTTTCATTATGGATGTTCTGTCAGTGACACTAGCTATGTGCTTTTTAATTGATAAACTGAAATCTGACAGTTTATTTTCAACTAGATCAACAATTTTTACTGCAAGAAAAAATTGTTGATCCAGCTTTCAGAGTCATTCCCAGGTTCCAAAACTATGTTGATAAGTGTAAATTTACATTTAAATAATGTCGATTTTTTAAAGACGTATATTTGTCTAACGATAAAGAAAATTGCGATCCGCTAGATATTTCTTTTGTTATCTCTAAAACCGCAGTTTGTTTAGCTAAATCATATTGTGTTTTTATCATACCCATAACATGGGATGGATTTTTTGGTAATTACATGCCTTTTTTAGACAATGATTTTCTAATGAACTAACTTTTTGTTTTGGCATTTATTGATGAGCCATCCGTTGCTAGCTTTGACACAATTTCCTCGATAGTCCACTGTTTAACAAACAATGTGATTTTATTTTGCACAATTTTAATTTTCAAACCAGTATTTTCATGTAGACGCTTCATATTTAAATCCAAACCTTTATGTGCGTTTTTTGAATGACGTAGGAGCCCACTTGTCAAAAATCCTTTGCACATCATCTTTACATTACATTTTTTTGCAAATCGCAGATTCGCCAGATTTTTCTTTACAAAAATACTGCCATGCTTCCGATCCATTTACAATTGACATAGTATAACTAAATTGAATCTTAAAACAACTAAAAGTAAAGTTACAAATATTTCTTACATATGTATGTTATCTTACGTATGACTTTAAATGTCTTTGTTTGCCGTTTTTTAAATACAAAATTTATTAAGTATTTCAATAATTCAATACAGAAAAAGTTTTCAATAATTTAGAAGTTTAAAAATTTAAATTACTGTTTTCGTTGCAAGAAATCTTATATATATATATATATATACATACTATATATATATATATATATATATATATATATATATATATATATATATATATATATATATATATATATATATATATATATATATATATATATACACTCTTGCTTTGTTGTCTTTAATTTTAGTTAAAGTTTAATAACTTTAAAAAAACATTTTTTTAATTGATAGATTGCCTGCCAAAACCAAAACCCTCAGTCAATGTAGTAACACTCCTCACATGTTATATAAATATTTACATACATACATACATACATATATATATATATATATATATATATATATATATATATATATATATATATATATATATATATATATATATATATATATATATATATATATATATATATATATATATATATATATATATATATATATATATATATATATATATATGTAAATATATATAAATATAAATATATATTTATACATACATACATACATACATACATACATACATACATACATACATACATATATCAGGCTTGGATAGGAATGGCGTGCGATCGTGCGCTATTACTGACCACGCGAATGATTTTATTTTTTGACAACTTGACCACGATTGTTTAATAAACAATATTTATATGTTTTGATGAGTTAAAAATTTCAGAAATGTTCTGAATGTAGAAACTCGAACCTAAACTTAAACTAGGAAAAAAATTAAAAAAAAACTAACAAAAAAAAATTCCTAACAAAAAAAGCAACGAAAAACAAATTCATATTGAAAAAGAAATTATATAAGCTCTAAAATGAAAATAAAAACTTTAACTCGAAGCGAAACTTTTAGTTACATTTTTAATTACGTATGAAATAAACTTTATTAAAACTTGTCTTTTTAAGCTTTATTAAAGTTACGCAAAACGTTTTTAAATTAAGTAATAAATTACTACTAATGATTGGTTTAATAAAAGAACAAATTTTATTAAATTTATTAAAAAGTGTTTTATATAACTTTTTTAAATTGTATAAACATTTATTTTGTCAAAAAAGTTGCAAAAAAAAAAATTGTTTAAAAAAATAACATAGTCTTTTAAAAATAGTAATTTTTACTAATTTCATGCTCTAATTAGTAAGTCTAATTAAAAAAAAGGTTTTGAACTTTTTTATTTGTAAAAATAGAAGAAAAAATAAATAAATAAAATGCGCCTGCGATTTAAATAAATTAACTGCCAACAAGCTTTTTAATTTAATTTTAATTTGAGCATTACAACTTTATTAACTAGCGCTTCGCGTAACGAATTAAAAGTTATTATAAAAGATTTAAACTCAATTCTAACAAAATTTAAAAAAAAAAAATTGTTTACAAAAAATAAGATGTTTATTTCAAACAAGTTTAATCATAAAAATTAATCGTATGAACATTATTTTTTTATTTGTAATTTGAACATTACTTTTTTATTTGTAATTTCATGCTCTAATTAGTAAGTCTAATTAAAAAAAAGGTTTTGAACTTTTTTATTTGTAAAAATAGAAGAAAAAATAAACAGATAAAATGCGCCTGCGATTTAAATAAATTAAATGCCAACAAGCTTTTTAATTTAATTTTAATTTGAGCATTACAACTTTATTAACTAGCGCTTCGCGTAACGAATTAAAAGTTATTATAAAAGATTTAAACTCAATTCTAACAAGATTAAAAAAAAAAAAATTGTTTACAAAAAATAAAATGTTTATTTCAAACAAGTTTAATCATAAAAATTAATCGTATGAACATTACTAAATGCTTTAAAACTTTTTCATTAAATCAACAAAATACATGCTTATATAAGTAAATAAAGTTATTTTATATTCTTGTGTAATTCACATAAAATGTGTAAAAGTTAGTAGTCACCAAAGCTTTTGAACTTATTCACAAATTAAAGTCTCTTAAAAAAATTCTTTCTAAAAATAATGATTTAAAAATGTTTTAGGAAGACATAAGAAAATAGTTTCAAACGTTTAAATTTATCATAAAAAATTAATGCCTACATAAAAAAACTTATTTATAACGTTTTTTATTAATTTACACAAGCATTTATGTAAACAATAACTATAATTAATTTTATGGTTTTATTTAAAGCCTTTGCATAAAATAAAAAACTTTAGAAAAGATCAACAATTAAAAGATATTTATAATGTAACACTTTTTCTATTGCATTCAAATTGTTAAAACATCAAAATTGCCGTGGTCAAGTTGTAAAAAAATCAAAACATTAGCGTGGTCAGTTACAGAGTGCGATCGCACACCATTCATGTCCAAGCCTGATATATACATACATACATATGCTAAACTTATGTTATAAATAAAAATAAACAATTTAGATCTAGAAAAAAGATAATTACAAACCTCTGTTTGAGATGATTGAGATGTGTTCATTAGAAGCATATTTAGTATATCTTGTAAAAATTCTCGAAGTGCATGATTTTCAAGCAGCAAAGTCTAAATAAACTTAAATTTTAATTATCCCCAAAATCTACACTTTTTAAATAATACTTTGTATATTAACATTATGATATAAATTCTAATTTTTTAATATATATTAATTATTTGACATATATTAATATATATTAAGTTGTTGATATATATTTCCCTCCTCAAAGCTGGGAAACTTATTACCAAAGAAGCTTATTGCTTTTTTTACTCAGCCTAATAAATCTAGCAGATAAAGTTCTTGAAAAAACAAAAAAACCTGTGTAAAAATATAAGTTAAGTGTGACAATAGCAGGGACTAAAATAATTATAAGGAATGATGATACCCCTTTTCCAAATTTTCAGGACCTTTCAGGAATTTAGAAATATTTTTAGAAATTTTTAGAAGATATTTTTAGTAGATATTTTTAGTAGATATTTTTAGTAAACATTTTTTTTTTTTTGTGCTTAACTAATATTTAATTGCTCTTAAAAAAAAAAATAATTTGCAAAACAGAAAAAATTACACAACAATTGACCCACATGGTTGAATTTATCACAGCAATTTTTCTTATTTGTTGGCTGCATTGGCTAGAAAAGCATCAAACCAGATGCATAACACATAACATAGTAAGACTTTTTAAGTCAAAAAATTTATTATATTTAGCTTTTATATTTATGGACATATGGACAAAAAAAATTTAATTAAAAAATCAATGAAGTAAAATCATTTAAAAAACTTATTTAAGTTTTAAAAATTTTAAAATAAGTTTGTGTGTTGTTACAAAAATGTTGTTTTCAAATGGTGCAAAAAGCATTAGCAATTGAGTATCTCTATTGTGATTGTTTTTTGCACCTTTGCAATTAGTTTTTTTTGTTATTTTTTAAAAAAGTTGTTTTGTTTTTTTTTGACATACTTTATGTCACGCTATATATAATTTTTAATAGTATGCTCTTTTACGCAGAGATTTTTATTCAACATATTTGCTTCTGAATTTTAATTGTTCTTGAAAATTAATTAATTTCTGCATGGTCAAGTCAATAATTAAAATTTAAATAATGGATAAAGTAAATCTTTTACTAAATACTTTTGATGAAGAAGAAGCAACAATTCCCACTTTATCTCAAAAATATAAAAAATATGAAGCTGTTAATATCTATGAAGGAGGCCTAACAAAAAATTTCTGAAAAAACCTTATCAGTTTATGTTGCCTCCAAAAAGTGTGACATACCAGCACAAACAATTAGTTGGCATTTAAAAAAACAAAAAAACAGAGAAAGTCTGAAGAAAACTGGTCCAAAAAAGTGTTAACTGAATTTGAAGAACAACTGGTTGTATGGCTTGTTATGTCATCTAATTTAGAAGATCCTAAAACAAAGACTGATTTAATCAAGGCTGCATCAGGCGTGCAGAAACTTCAAAAATCTTCAGATACGCCGCAGTTCAAAAATGGACTTCCAACAGAATTTTGGGCAAACCCGTTCCTTATAAGAAATGCTGGAATAGTTCTTCATACCCCTGAATCTATTAGCAGAGCAGCAGCAGATTTTAGAGATTTTTTCGACAATTTTTCTCATTTTTTAACAAGGAATGATTTACTTAATGTCTTTGATTGTCCAGATGCTTTTTACAATATTGATTAGACAAATTATGAAATAAATCCAAGTTTGAAGGGAATTCTCTCAAGGAAAGATGCAAAAAGAGTTTATAAAGTTAATTCATCAAGGCCTAAAGAAAACATTACTGTCTGTTATTGCTTTGGAGCTAATGGTTTTATGTTTAAAACCCAGATTATTTTGAAAAAAAAGTTCATACAGATGAACTTTTTCGGAAAAGTTCATACAGATGAACTTTATCGGAACTAACAATGGCAAATTTTTGTTCACTTAAACTGAATCTTTATGGCAAAAACCAATACATCTTAAAAGATTATATCAAAAGAAATGACAATTTTTTGTTCACTCAAATAAATTGTAAGATGTTGTACACCCTGTTTTCATATTCTTAGACAATCATCCAATACACATTAATTTTCATTTATTTAAATGGTGCAAGGAATGGGGAATTCACAGTGTCTTTTCCTATAAATTTCACTCACATTTTTCAAATGTATGATACATCAATTTTTGGACCAGCCAAGAGTAGTTTAGCTATTAAAGGTTTATCATTTACTGTGCAACATCAAATCTTTAAAAAGATTATCTGCTGATCAAAAATTGATTTTATACAGCATAGCAGAGTTCTATTCGACATTTGTTCATGTAAATGTAAACAAATTCAACTTTGCTGTTGTCCAAGAGAAAAAAAGGAACCTAAAGACGAGCAAAAGTTTTTGCTTGACAAAGGGCAAGAAAGGAAGATGCAAATTGGTGGAATACATCATATTTTTTCAACTAAATTACAAAAAATGGTAACAAAAGCCTCTAAGACGAACAAATCTATTTTCAAAATTCACAAAATTCAAAAGAAGTGTAATATTGAATAGCAGGAGTTGGCGTCATCTTCAAATGAGTCTGAAGCCAATATTTCTTTGCCTGATAAGCTAAACTTACCTTCCACATCACAAATTAAGAAAATAACATAAAATACAGTTAAAAGTTTGCTTATGTTGTTAAAAACCTGCAACCGTTATAGCATTTCCAACATAGAAGCCGCTGTGATTGCTTCTTTAGTATCACAAACTATATCTTTGGAAATTGAAGTGGTTGATAAATCAAAAATATGGCAAGAAAGGAATAAAGAACATAATGAACTATATAAACAATAAAGGCAGCTTCATTTACCTGCTTTATACTTTGAGGAATGGAAAGACAAGACGCTAAATATAGTGAAGAAAGGACCAAAAAGGTACAAACAGTGATTAAGGAACATATCTGTTTTTAAAGATTCAGTTTATATTGGTTACACTACGTCAGTTCAAGGTATTTTTGAAACATTGATTAATGGGCTTCTCTTGTCACAAAAAATTAATCTAGATGATTTGATGGCTGTTGGTTGCATTGGTACAGTCACTAACACAGGAAAAGTTCAACAGCGTGATTAGAAACTTCTAGAAAAGTTTAAACGAGTTACCTTTGAGACATCTATTTATCAAATTAGACTGTGTTACCACTAGCCCATCTTCACATGCTGGTCCTATTGGCAAATCATTAGAAAATTGTAAAAAATGCCAATAATAAACTATGAAAAAATGCAAGGCAAACTTCCAAAAGTCAAATTTGAATATCAGAGTACAGATCAAAAATACTTATATAAAATAACAATGGCCGTTAATAATGGCAAATGCTCTGATAATTTGAGTAACAGATCCCTGGTTAAAATTCCCCATGCCCAACGGTTAAGAAAAGCCAATAGAATATTACGATTAAAATGAATTAAAACTATTAGCTGAATATTGTGTTAAAGTATATGCTCATGAATATTGTGTTAAAGTGTTCCTGTATGGTTTGGAATGTTCCTGTATGGTTTCAAATAAAAATAAATCCAACTTGCAATGATGGATCTAATAACTTTTGGAGATTATTTAAATGTTCTTGATATCTGCCAGCACAGCTTAAACTTATATTAAATCCTGTAATGCCTATTTTGTCCACCCTGAAAATTTGCTTCTGTCGATATTGTGTGATGAACACAAAATAGTAAGGAAACTAGCTGCCTGGAGGATACTTAAAGCACGAAATTCATCTCATACAAGAAAGATACCTCATATGTTTTAAGTGCTGCAAATAAATTTTAATGCCAACAGTTATTTTGAGCTTATTAACTAGCAAAAAATTATTTCGATCCACCAATTCTTTGACACATCATTAATCAGGAAATAAACAAAGTTATTGAGTCTCAGGGCGGCTTAAACTTAATTTACTTAAAGCTAGCATGTCATATGCAGGCAGTCGAATGCTCTATGAAAATAGCAACAGAAGCATGTATGTCCTTATGCAATAAAAAATCAAGAGAAGGTTTAATACAAGCGAAACTTGCATCCAGAAAACTTATGCGTGGATTAGACAGTAAACAAGATTTTGTGGTCAAAACATATTCAGTTAGATTTTATGTTATTAAAATATATTAATGTATATTTTATTAAAGTATATTAATACTAAATTTTAGTATTAATGTTAATTGTTTATGCATTCTATATTTTATTTCTTCATTTTCTATTATTTTATAACTGTTTCCTAATAAAATACATTTAACGAAATGTTATTTTTTTTGAAAATTCCCTAAATTTTGAATCACATGCGCAGGCTAAAGATACCACTTTATTCAACTTTTTATAGACAATTTTTATTTGTTTAGACCTAAGACAACATAATATCAGATATAAAAACATATTAAAATATGATCAAATAGCTTGTATATATATATATATATATATATATATATATATATATATATATATATATATATATATATATATATATATATATATATATATATATATATATATACATATATAAACTTTTAAATATATATATTTATACACATATACACACAAATAAATAAATAAATATATATATATATATATATATATATATATATATATATATTTGTTTTCTTGACAAAAAAAACACTTTTTTAGTACCAGTACTGGCTTCTGTGCCCTGATGTATTTGACTGTTTATGTCTCTGCTTGTTTGAATATTTACATACATACATTTGGTTTTTATGGATTTTTGGTGTTTAATTGATTACAATTACTACTGATTTAATTCAATTGTTACTTATAAAGTAATAAGTCTTTAGTTATTTGTCCAACAGAGAAAATTCTCTTTTATTCTTAATGATTTTTATTATATTCAACTACTTCTTATTTATTTATTTTTTTTAAACAAATTTAATTTTTTTGTTGTTGTTAAAAAACACATTCACTATAGGTGAAAACCTTGAGTTTTTCTTACATTCATTAAAAAAGGAAAATTAGTTTTGAACAAATACTAAAATTTTCATAGTTCTTATGTTGACAATAATTTGAATAATCAACAATTTAAATTGAAAAAAAAAGAAAATAAAAATTTTAAACTGTGTCTTAAATCTTAAAGCATTCGCTTCATTAGCGAAAGGTTTTAAGTTCTGCCTCCTCCATGTCCCTGGTAGTACCACGCACAACTTGTTTCTCAGACCTTGTTTATTAAGGTTCATGATTTGGAGTTATAGAGTTGAGAGCGGGTTATAACCACAATTAAGCAGCCTCCTTGTCTGTTGTGGCCTTCTTGGCCTTGGGGAAGTGAATTAACAAAGACACAAAAATTTCTTTATAACATCAAAAAATGACATTGCTCTAATGATATAAAATATTTCACTAAAACACAAAATTTTACCAAAATTTAAAGTTGACAACAATGTAACATAACATTTTTTTGTATTTCCCTATAAATATTGCAATATATACTCTCCTAAAAAATAGGATTTATATATATATATATATATATATATATATATATATATATATATATATATATATATATATATATATATATATATATATATATATATATATATATTTGTGATGCATTTCACAAGAAAGTGCTTAAAAAAAATCAGCTCAAGCACTTAATCTAGAAATTTGTTTTTTTCACTATTATTATTTTTTTTATAGATAAGTGCCTATGTATTTACAAACATTGAAGATATTTAAATCTTTCCCTTTTAATGTGAAATAGTTAAACACACAAACATAGTTTTTAATAATAACTTAGCTGTCAATAGTAGTGACAAATTATCATGATGTAATATGTTTTAATTTTCAAAACTTATTTTAAAAAATTACCTTTTCTTTTTCCTCATAATTTGAAATAATTAGTTTATACATGTCTTCCTCATTTCTAAAGTAATATGAATTTGAAATAATTACTTTATACACACAAATTAAAAATTATACGCAAAAAATAAAAAATTGTGTATGTACAAACGATTATACATGTTTTCATCAAAAAACTATAACTTAACAATTTAACTTATAACACTTTTGTGATGACATAGTATTGATAAGCTTTTAAAGAGTTTAAATTTCAAGTTCATTTTATGTCATTTTCTATGAATTCCTAAATGTTTTTTTAAAGAATACTTCTTCTGTACTTAAAAATCTTCCAGTGACAATCAAGAAATTTATGTGTGCTTCTAAATATAAAAAGCATAAACAAAAGATAATTTTGTATTTAATTGCAATGATAGCAGAGCTTAAACAATGAGTGAATTAGTTAAGATGACTACCTTGATTGATTTGATTTGCAACAAATTAAAAAAAAAAATGACTTTTTTGAAAACAATGGTAACATCATTTTTCTTAAAATCAAGGTTGGCTTTGAATGCAACATTTTAACATATATATCTACCTACTTTAAGCTTGAACCACTAGTAGAGCCAAGAAAATTACTTTCTTTTGTTTTTTTTGTTAGCAAACATTTTTATATAGTAAGCGCTTTAAAAATTTGCGGCAAAAAAAAGCTATAAGAAACTACAGAGAATAAAATAGCAATACTCAAAGAAAGGAAATGAATACTATATGAAATAAAAAATATAAATAAAATAAACTAAAATAAATTTGAAAATTAAAAAAAGACACAAATAGTTGTTTTTTTTTAAGACATTTGTTATTTTCCACTAATAAAAAATAAAAATATTTTTGATATACAATTTATTCGCAACTTTTTTCAGTCAGTATATTAAGGAAAGACTTTATTATTTGCACAAGAAATATGGGCAATTTTAAAATTCATTTTTCAAATGTTTTTGCAAAACTTTACTGTTTTTATCAATGCACAGGAAAGCGAGCAAACTAATTGCTATTTATTTGTAAAAATTTTTTTTTAATCTTAAGTTTTCTTGTAAAAAACATACCACCAAAACATACCAGTCATTAATACTTATATTCAAATAAAAAAAATTTGGTTATTTTCACTACCCCCTTTGAAATAGTCTCCACTTTTGTTGGATTCTCCAAATTGTGCATTTAAACCTAATAGTTTATTTCCTAAAGAAATATTGTTATTGACGATGCTCCAAAAGCTTGTGGGCTAGTGCTTTGTATTTAACTGGACCTTTTTAACAAAATTTTATAGATACTATTAAAAACTTTTTTTATATTTTTAAATAGATTTTTTCAAACAGAGAAATTGGTATGTTTATTATCTCTAGTATTTCATAATAACGATGGAAATTGGACAATATAAGAAAAAAATTTCAGACAGACATCAAATGATTTAAATACATTTTTTAAAATAATTCTTTTATATAATTTTTTCTCTCGTTACAAAATTTATTAATCAAATAATATATTTTACAAATAAATACCAAACAAATAAATTTATTTTTTTATTTTCTTATTTTTAAAATCCCAAATATAGCAAATACATTTTAAAAGCAAAAAGACATAAAAACAAATAAATGTAAAAAAAAACACAAAATTAACAAAAACTCTCATAGTTCTAGCGTACATTGCAAATTAGTTGGTTAATTATATAGGCTGATAAAAATCGTGAATAATTTGCAAATCAATACTATAAATTGCTGTTAAATTGTTATAAAACATGTTTTTTTCCTTAATATGTATCAAACTGGGTAGCTAAAAATAACAACCTCCCTTAAAAAAAAGAATAAAAAGTTTTACAAGTTTAAAAAAAAAAAAAAAATTTCAGATTTTTTTTTTAAATTATTAAATTTTTCTAGTTTATTTATTTTAAGGTTGATATTTCAATTTTATTTCCTTTTCTTAAATTTATTTTTTTCAGTAGTTATTTGATTAATAAATTTTATAATATATAGAACATATGTAAAGTACTATTCGAATACTTTTATTTTATCAGCGTATTATGTCCAAACAAAAGCTTTAGATAGTATTATTTTTTTTTGCTTCAGGTTTATTTAATATTTAAAGAAACTTTTTTTTTTTTTTTTATAGAATATAGACAGAAAAAATTAAATAAAAGAATTAAATGGGTTTTTTTGTAATGTATTTACCACATTTGATATCTCTGAAATTGTTTTTTTATATTGTCCAATTTGCGGTAGTGGTGTAATGGTAGAGCGTTTCCTTCATAAGCGAGAGGTTCCAAGTTTGATCCCCACCACATCTCTGGTAATACTGCGTTCAACTTGTTTCTCCGCACAGTGGCCTTGTTCATCAAGGTTTGCGTTTCAGAGTAATAGAGTTAAGAGAGGGTTATAACCACAAATATTACTTATTTTCATAGTAGCCTCCTCGACTGTAGTCGTCTTCTTTGCCTTGAGGAAGTGAATTAACACACAAAAAAAAGAAGATAAGTTTAGCTTTTTGCTTAGAATTATTGAAATATTTAAAAAGTTATAAAATACAAACTGCCATGTTCAGAATGTCAAAAAAAATTACTTTAAACCTGGAAAAACAAGACATGCAAACGCACGCGTTTACCGGAAGGCTTGTATAATAGTTGTTAATAAAAAACATGTTTATATCAATACATAAATTTAAATAATAAAATTAAATAAAAAATAATTAAAACTAATGAAAGTAAAAAAATAAAAATATTTCAAACATATTTATGAAAATAAGTAACTATGGAAACAGAAAACATAATTTAAAATATGATACAAAAAAATATAATTTTTGTTAACAATATTTTAAAATTTAAGCAAAAACAAAAAATCATCTACACAAAAATCATCTTAAAATTTTAAAGTACTTTTTTCCTGTAGTAGATTTCCAAGTACTTCTTCTGCCATCTCCTCTCTGTAACGGGTTTAAAACTTCCATGGAAACCTTTTTTTCTTGAGTTCTGTCATTTAAAAGCTAAATACCAAAAAAAAATTACTATTAAAAACACTTAGGTGGTACTGGTAAATTACTGGTATATTTCACAACTTATTTCATTAACCTGATGCACTTTTGTTTGAAGTTTAGTTTTTTCATTTTCCATTCTTTTTAACTCATGTTGGCACTGATTTTTTATATGGTCCAAATCACTTTTCAGTTTTCTTTTTTCTTCACGTTCATTTTTCATTTCTTGAAAAAGTGCTCTATATTTGCTAGCTTGATCATTTTCACGAATAGTAGATAGTGCAGCTTCACGCCTTAAATTTTCCAGATCTTGCTGCAAAATTAAAAAATATAAATATTAGTGCAGCAGCAGCCATAGTAGTAGCGGTAGTAGCGGTAGTAGTAGTAGTAGTAGTAGTAGTAGTAGTAGTAGTAGTAGTAGTAGTAGTAGTAGTAGTAGTAGTAGTAGTAGTAGTAGTAGTAGTAGTAGTAGTAGTAGTAGTAGTAGTAGTAGTAGTAGTAGTAAAAGGCAAATAATATTTTATAATTAGAGAATTTTATAATATTTTCTAATTAGAGAAGCATATATTATTACATACAGATATATTATATTTATAAAATGCAACACTGTAATCATCCATTAGTGTAGTTCTTAATAGTTATTAGTAAAAAAATAATGGAATTGTTTGTGTATTTTATGTTAGAAAGTGCAATGATTAAAATAATCAAAATAAAGAATTCAAAATTGAAAATGGTTAAATTTTATTCAATGAATGAAAATGGTTGACAAAAACATTAAAAACTCTAAATTAAATGATTCAATAAAACAACTTCTAAATTTTAAGTTACAATTTACTGAAAAACTTACAAAAGCAAAAGCATTTACATAATTTATAAAAACATAAAAAAACCAACATAATATGACAAATGCACCTTTAGACGAGATTGACTTTGAATAAGAAATTCATGATCACTTTCAGAACGAATTTGTCTATAATAAAAATATATAAACATAATTTTGTAGAACTCAAATACAATAGCCATCATTATCAAAATGTTTAAATAAAAATAAATTCCTTTCAAGATAATTATTTAAGGTAGATAAATTATTTAAGGTAAGATAATTGGTTTTTCAAGATAATTAAGTTAAGGTATTAAAGTTTGATTTTAAAAGATTTAAAAAAGAAGTAAAAAAAAGTTTTTTTTTAATTTTTTGAAAATTATTAAAATTTAATAAAGAGTAAAAATTTAACATTGTATTTGCATTACTCAAATTACCTATATGAAATACAGCAACATTCCAAAACGTTAAAAGCAAAAATAAGCTTAAACCAAGCCAAAAATAATGTGTATATGTGTAAGTAAGTGTATGTAGTCAATTAAAAATAAGCAGTGCAACATCCATAACAATAAACTAAATACAATAAGTTTTAAATCAAAATCATCAAGTGAAAACGAGTACAAGAAACTCTACAATGTGGTTAACTGTAAACCTACTGAAATAAAAATTAGACAGATAAAAACAAACTTTTCTTTCTTTTTTTTTTTTGTAATCAAAAAGTTATGTTTAATAAACTTTTTATACATCTGTCAGTTAATATATAAAAATTTATGCACCGGTTTTAATGTATCAGTTTTGTTTTACAATTACTTTGACAATTATTATATAAACAATATTTTAGATATTTTAATATAATTATATATACAATATTTTTAAATATTTTAATATAATTACATATACAATATTTTTAACTTATTTTATAAAATATCATGATTATTAATATGATATAATTCTGTGTTGAGTATTGATACCACTAAGTCTTGTGACAGAGAACTAAATCTTGTGAGTTTGTGACATGAATTTAGTGTTGTGGCAGTGAGTTAAACATAATAACAGCAAGTTGAGTGTTAAGAAAGTTAACTTGTTGTGACATTAAGTTAAGTGTTGTAACTGTGAACTTATGGTTGTGACAATAAGTTAAGTGTTGTGACAGTGAACTTATGGTTGTGACATAAGTTCACTGTCACAACCATAACTGTCAGAGTCAAGTGTTGTGACTGTGATATAATGGTTGTGACAGCCAGTTAAATGTTACTAAATATGTTAAATTATACAAGTCAAAGTTAAATGAGTTGAGTTTTTATTCATTTTGAATTATTCACTTTTTTTATTTACCTTTACAGTTTTATAAATTGCTTTTGGCAGAATTTGGACATGTAATGTTACTTTTTAATTCATTTACAAAGATATAATATATAATTCTATATATACATTTCCTAAGATATTAGGAAATGTATATATAGAATCCTTTTAAAGAGAGGCATGCGGTTATATTATATTTTGGCAACTTAACTTGGGTCTTTGCAAGTTTTGATAATTTTTGCCATGCACTGAAAAAAAAAAAAACTAAACTAAAAAAATGAAAATAATAATAAAGTAAAAAAAACATAAATAAATGAAAGTCGAAAAAATAAAACTATAAAATAAAAATAAAATATCGTGACATTAGAATAATGGGTTAGAATATCTCCCTTTTGTAATGTTGAAATTATTTAACAAAACTTGTTATATTCTTTTAAATTTTTAAAGTTAAAGGTAAAATTGTGTTAAATTAGTTAAATTAAAAGATTAAAATACTAAATTGCAAACTATCAGGAAAGCATGATGAAGAAATTGCAAATTATCAGGAAAGCATGATAAAGAAAGCGAATTCCAAAGAACTGATGTTTGAGGAAAAAAACTAGACAAATAAGAGTTTTTGGAGCACTTAGGAACAGTCACAGAAAAAGGATGAGACTTAGTTGAATGAGGAGTAATACGAGAGTGAATTTTAGTAGATGGCACAAGAGAAAGAAAAGCAACATTATGGCGATGTGATAATGGTTGAAGGTTTGCTGCAAGAGCAGGTCCAACTATGTTTACAATGCGTTTTTGCATTTTGTCTAAAAGAAAAAGGCCATCATAAGAAGTGTCGCCCCAGATATGGCAACAGTATTCCATACAAGGCTGGAATACTAATGAGTTTTATCTGAATTAAAGTTCACCAGCCACTGTGAGCCCCATGCTGTAGCCGAAGTGAGATCCTTTTCAAGCTCAAATGCCCCCTCCCCCCCAAGCATAGAATAGTTTTGAAACGATAGACAACAGCTCCGGAGAACACTTCTGCAAGACTACAATAGGTATGTTGTCCGGACAACCAGCTGTAGAAGATTCTAAGCAGGAAATCATTTTAGATACAGAAGCTGGAGTGATACGAATGTCAAGCAATTGATCAACCTTTTTGACAGCTATATCAGGTAGAAAGCAAGTAGTGGAATCAAGAGATGATGTTGAAGAGTTCTTAGCAAACAATTCAGCTTTGTCTTTAGGTGAGGTGACAAAGTCTGAACCATACAAAAAAGGTGGAACTACAGACTTACCCTTACTATTGATACTATTAAAGTTTCTCCAAATCACATGAGCCTAATTTTTGTGATGAAATACGAGATTTCATGACCTGAGAATAGCGGGCTTTGGCATTAGTCAAAACCTTTTTACAATGGTTCATAGCAGTAATAAACAGACGTCTGTTTTCCTGAGAATTGTTTTGCTGATAGATATGGAAGTAATAGTTTCGATTGGCAATTGCAGCAGCACAATATGAGGAAAACCATTGAGAAGAGTGAGGCTTGACCTGGAATCGTCAAGAAGAAATAAAGGATTCCATGCCAGCCTGAATCCACGAAGTTATGTTAGAAGCACATTTGTCAACATGAAGACGAAAGATTTCTACCCAAAGGCCATCACGAAGAAAATCACGGAAAAAGTCCTAGTCAGCTTTAAGGTAGTTGTAAGATATATGATAGAGGGATTCTGATGGTTAAGAAGAATGAGATAATAGTTTTAGAGGGATCAAACTGTGATCAGAGGCGTCTAAGGGTGAATGGTAAATGGAGAAACTGAGCACTGACTAGGATCAGAAACAAGACATAAGTCAAGTAGTGAAGGTAAATGATTCGGGTTGTCTGGAAAGAGGAAATTTGATTAAGGGATTGAGAAATGCAAAAGTTGTGGGCTTTAATGCCTTCAGAGTCACTGACACTAGAGACAAGCCATTCTGTGTGATCAACATTAAAGTCACCGACAACAACAATATTGGGTGATGGATAAAGAGAGAGGGCTTTATCAATATGATCAGAAATAACATCAAGAAGAGTGCAGTCTTGAGATGAAGGAGAGCGATATAGAACAAAGAGAAAGGTGATAGAGTGAAGTGGTGCTAAACGAAAGCATATAAAAGAGTAGTCTGTGGATTCAAACCTAGGTTCCTGACAAATGGGTGAATTCTTATGAATGTAAATGCCCAGGCCAAGCATGTGACTATTGGAGTCTTTACGAATTAAAGGAAGATAACCATCAACGCTAAGATCACAAAATGAGACAGCTGAACTCAAATTAGTCTCACAAAGAGCAAGTAGGTCTGATGAACTTTGCAAGAGATAAGACTCAAAAGAAGAAAAATTACTTCCAAGATCATGAATATTAGCGAATGATTTAGAGAGGAATGGTTTAGAGAGAACTTGGTGATTGCAATCGTTTTTTGTATTTTATAGTTTTTGTTACTTTATTTATTTTTAAATTTGTTGAAGAACTTGACTCGAAGCATAGATAGTACTCAGTACACTGTTTAATAGCCTAACCAATAGCCTCATTACTATTAATAAACCCAAAGCAGTAACAAAGGACTCTAATGTGGCCTTGGCAATGCACACCAAAAATACAACAGGGACACCATCCATGCACAACATGGCATTGTTAATACTTTTCAGCTATTGATGGAATCAGCCTCTCTGAGAGCTACCACAGAGTTTGGGAAACCTGACTACCAGCCGGCCTCAGAACCATAAAACTGAGTTTTAGAGCTGTACCCTCATTAGGAGATAATAAAATGAGTTGCCTAGCCATAAAAATAGACACACAAGCAAAACCCATGCATTGAGTCAAGAAGATCCAGCATTCAACTTCCTAAACTGAAAACAATGTATTAAAAATACATCTGCACCAGCCTAATAGATGAAGAAGGAGTTCGAGGCTGGTCAACAAATAGAATCTGTTTACCCTTTAAGTCTTTGCCTAGGAGGCCTTCTACAAGATGCATATAATATCTGCCCAAGATGAGTATTTTTATCAAGACGCTATCTCTTGCCTTTCTCAACCAAGAGTCTTGAGGCAGGGGGTGTTTTAAGTCGAAGTTAGCATCTCCTAGCCTTTGCCTAAAAAGGCATATCCTACAAGGCAGCAGGACATGAAGCAGATTGTACTGGGTTACAAGTTACCAGTAGCAGGATAACTTGACCTGACATTATAAGTATAAAAGTTTTATAAGTAAAAATAACTTTTAAATACTTATTAAACTTTAATAATAAGCAGCAGGATAACCTGACCTGACAGTAGCAGTAGCAGGATAACCTGATCTGAAATTATAATTATAAAAGACATAAGTATAAAATAACTTTAATACAATAATTATACTTTAATGATAAGATTATTTAATAGTTTTGGATTTATAAACAATTTATATAAGGTGGTTTTAATTTATAAATTAATTTACATGTTTGTGTTCTGCCTAAACCTCTGGCATGATGTTCACTCACCAGTAAGTTGCTATCTGTATGTTAGTGTTCCGTCTGTTTATGTTTATAGATATGTTTGTGTTCTGTTTGAACATCTTGCACAGTGTTTACTTATAAGTTACTTTCTGTATGTATGTATTCTGTTTAAATGCTCTGTTTAAATATTTAAATCTGTTTTGATGCAGTGTGAGCTCATTAACTAACTAGACATTCCAACGATAAAAACCTACACTCTCCCTTATCTCTAGTATTTTCTTAGATGTAATACTTTTTCTTATGGATTTCCAAAATATCATGCCCAAGTTTTAAAATACTGTTTGAATGAAGTAGCTCCTTTTAATTATTTCAGGTCAGGTCAGGTTCAAAAACATCATGGTC